TGGGAGATATCGAGCAACATCCCTGAAGAAACCTGTGTGGATGAAGACTGGAAGTCTTTGGAAGGGATGTTGAAAGAGACCTGCGTAACCGTGCTGGGAAGGAAAAAGAAACAAGACAGTATAAGGAATGGATGTTGACGGACAAATGGAAGCTGACAGAGGAGAAGAGGGGAAGATGGTGATGGTGAAGCATAAGAGGAACCAGTGAAGTGCAGGGCAGGGATGGAATGGGCAACGTAAAGCGGAAGTGAGTGCAGTGTGTAAAACACTACGGTAGACAAGGAGGTGAAGAAGAATGCGGCCAAGGGTAAAAGACACTCTCACGACACATTTGCAAGTGAAGCAGAACAGGCTGCTGGTAGGAGAGATCTGACAACGTTGTATGAAATAACCAGTTTACTATCTAGTGGGGAAGAGATCGACACAGATGAAACCAATTAAAGATGATGAAGGAAATATAATTACTAAAGAAGAGAAACAAATGAAACGATGGGTCGAACGCTTCAAGAAGCTCTTGAATCGATCACCACCTGCACTTCGTCCACAAATACCACCTGCAGCCGCTGAACGACAAGTGAACATAAATCCTCCAACAAAAGTCGATGTCCTGAGCGCCATAAAGCTACTGAAATGTGGGAGAGCGGCAGGACCAAATGGAATCCCTGCAGAAGCACTGAAAACAAAAGCAGAGACAACAGCAGACACACTCACACTACACCACTATTGCAGAAGATATGGAAGGAAGGAAAAGTAGCTGTAGATTGGAAGAAGGGTTACCTTGTCAAACTCCCAAACAAGGGAGACCTAGGTCTTTGCAAGAACTGGCTCGGAATCACGCTCCTGTACACCCGGAGCAATCAAAATACTAAACCGCATCATCCTGGAGATATTAAAGAATGGTCTGGATTCAAAAATACGACCGAAACAGGCTGGCTTCAGGATGTAAAAATCATGTGTGGACCAAATTGCAATGCTTCGCATAATCATAGAACAAAGCATAGAATGGCATTCAACTCAACTCTACCTCAATTTCATCGACTTTGAAACTGTTTTTGACAGCGTCGACCGAAAATTTAATTTGCCAGGTAACTGCTTCATCACTACGGTTTTAGTACCACCTTTATCAGCCTCATTCAGTAACAAAATGAAGACGCCACATGCCAAGTAATTCACAATGGGAAGCTCAGTGATGCCTCTGAAGTGAAGACAGGAGTAAAACAAGGCTGTCTACTATCAGCCATGATCTTCCTGATTGTCATGGACTGGATCATGTAACAACTTGTGGGGAGCGAGAAGATGGGGATAGGATGGACCGGGAAGAAGATCCTCGAAGGTTTGTACTTCGTCGATGATTTATGTCTAATGACGCACAAACCTGAAGACCTACAGGCGAAAACTAACAAGTTGACAGAAAAGGTGATGCGAGGCAGCGAAAATGGGACTTCAAGTGAATATGGAGAAAACGGAGGTGATGAAGATACTCAACCAACACCAGCACCAACAACAACAAGCTTCAATCGCCATCAAGGGGAGAAACTTAAAGGAAGTAGCCTCTTTCACCTACCTTTCCAGGCAACACTGTTTCGACTACATGCGGCACAGGCACAGACGAGGATGTCTAAACTAGGATTGGAAAAGCATTACAGCTTTCACTAATCTGAAATCAGTTTGAAGAAATGCTGTACTCAGCAAAAAGCGTGAACAAGATCCGGATTTTCAACACTAACGTCAAGTCAGTGCTTCTATATGGTTCAGAAACTTGTCGCGTTGCGGGAAGCATTCACAACAAACTACAGACATTCATCAACAACTGCCTACTCCCGTTACTGAAGCTCAGATGGCCAAAACGAATAAGTGACAAGGAACTCTGGCTGACTGATAGGGAACCAACCAAGAAACTATCGCTAATAAATATACAGAAGGAAATGGAGATGGATGGATTGGGCATACGCTGAGAAGACCGATTGTAACCCAGATGGGAAAAGATGAATTGGCCGTCCGAGAGGAGGATGACAGGGAGGAGATCGTCAGAGGAAGAGATGAGAGCTTGTGGGCAGCGGTGGAGCCAGGTTCTAAGGATCTCAGAGAACAGAGTGGGATGGAGACGTCCCACTGAGGCTCCATGTTCCACCAGGAACCCAAGAGACAAATAATAATAATAATACACTGGTAGATTGAGAGTTTCTCGTGTAACAGCCTTCTCCTTTGTGTTTCTTCTTGACTATTATCTTTTACTCATTCTTGGTTTGCTTAAAAAAGACTGTGATGTAATGCGTGGAATTTCGGAAAGTATCAGCAGAACTGTACCATTAAACCTTCATACTGATGTCATTGGGGACAAACATCTTAATTCGCTTGAGTAGCTAACGAGAGTATTTTCATCAGATGACCATCATCCTCTTTACTCAAAGCTATCAAAATGTCATCACTGTGCTAAAACTAGGAGCAAGTATACAAACCTTTATGCATGTACTATCAAATATCAAACTTTGCAATACCTCATTCATCTCTTACTGGAAATGAAACAACTAGTTAACTTCCACAGTAGCAAAGAAATTAAAATTATTGCAGGTATTATTAATTTTGAATTTAACTGATAATGTAACTGTTTGCCCAAGTTAACTATGCCTTTTCAAAAAAATGTGTATATGACGTTAATATTTTCATTTTACTTATGTTCAATTAGTGTTAATAAAAGATTCCGTACAGCTTTCTCGAAAGATCTTTCAAGATAAAACTCTTGTTAATATTACAATATGTTTTCAACTTCGGTCTATTCATTTCTTCTAGTTTTATATCTTCTTTAAGGTTTTTTTTAAGAATTTCGGGATCTTAATTCTTTACGCCACTTTTTCATTCGCAACTGTCTTCAGTAAACAAGTTTTTTTTATTTTTCATGTTTTCAACTTTTCTAATTCGTCAGGCTTCTATAAGTTAGTATCACCCTTATCAATCTAATTCTTAAACCATTTTGATAGAAATTATTCTGTTCATAAAATTTACTCTTCTTTTTGTTGTTTTTTAATAGTATGACGATGAATTTTGCCGAATTGAGTAACTGGTTCTTTTCCACTTTTTTCAACATAGGGATTTTCTTTGATTTTTGTCAACTTTACGGATAACTCACAGATTTCCTGCTGTTAGTTCTTAGGGCTTCAATGATAAACAAAGTTTCAATCGTTTCGCTTTCCCAACTTTGAATTTAATTCTGTTCTGAGTCAGATCTTACTGTCGTATTCAAGATGTGTTCTTATCCCCTTACGATCCTGTTATCATCATCTCCATGTAGGCTTATTTTCATAGTTTGAGCAGTTTTTCATCATTATGCTTATAGGTTTCACTGTTTTTGTTTTTATCATGTCAACTGATGGCTGTGAATATTGCAATCATAACTTTTGTTTCAGTAACTGATTCTTTTATATTGAAAAGTTATTATTTCACTGGTGTACTTAACAAGCCCTAGGAATCATTGTTTATGCCATTTTGACTTCTTCTACTGTATGATTTTTCATTCAGCTGACACAATGAGTAGTGATTTGTATCATAATTTACCCTAGGGTGTTGTATTATTTTCAGTTTGAAACATTGAAATTCAAGGAGAGTAGTCAACGCAGAGCAAAGATTTCTTTGCTGTACGTTCACTTGCAGAAATTCCTCATACAAGGAAAAAGACTATCTAAATATTCATATTCACTTTTCATGAAATTTGTGCTGACCTGGTGTTGAAACATTAAAATTTGAATGTATTAACTCGGAGAAAGGCAAACAATTTTTAGATAAAGATACGCTAGTGTTTGTTTAAATTGTACACTGATGATCTAACTCATGTGGGGGTTGTGCAGCTTTTCGATGCTGGTTGCTTTCTGTGAACTGAAACCCATATTTAATGCATAGATGAATTCAGTCATTTAAACGGTCCCACCATTCTCTCAAACAGACAACAATCTTATTCTTCACAGTCTTACATTAACTCCTGTTTGTTAGACTGTTGTTTTCAGTGAGAAACTGTATAGTGACTAGTAGAACCCATATCTGTGAGAAGTTTTAATTTGGTTTCACTGCGTACTTGCTGCTGTTCTTTGGATGATGCGACATCTAATCAATTGATCGTTAACCAGTCTCGTTTCGTTTAAAAAACAACACTGTTCATGAACTTTTCACAGTTTAAAGAAAATAACAATTCAGTCTTATTATTCAATGACATGCGATTAGATTTGCATATCCGCGTGTAACAAAGAAACTTTAGATGCCTGGATTATTCGTGAGCGACGGTTGAACATTATATCGTCTGATATACATATTCAAGACAGCATCAATAAAGTTAAACACGTTAGAATCACCGTGAGATTTAGGCTTTCATCTCTTTGATTTTGTTTGTGCAAAATCAAAGTCTGTAATGTTCACTTAAGTTTTCAAATCTTGATCATGAAGTCAAAATAATCTGCTACTGTCTAGAGATTACAAGCAACCACATACTGAAATGAAATTATAAGTATTGTCAATGGTCAGTTTGCGGTCTAAATAATGAAAACTAATAACAGCTAATGATTCTATCCAAAAAGAGCTTCGTCACAATCTTCATAATGTTACATGGAATACAGTATCGTAATTAAATGTTTAGTTCACTCACGATTCTTCAATTAAACTTTATATTTATCCATAATCTATTTTCTGAAATATTATTACTTTCCTCCTCTTATCAATTCATTTGAAGAAATAGCATAACATTGAAAGCTGTTAAATGGGCTTTTTTTCTGAAGCTTACGAGTTTTTTCAGGTATTAAGTTTCAGAAGCGAAATTCTCTCATTCAACCAGGTTTTTGATGTCTATGAAATAGAATTGGGTCATTATTTCACAGTTTTTCTGGATATGGCTACACTGACCACAGTTTATTTGATTTGTGACGTAATGCAAAACTATCATGTTATCTAAATGGTTTCAGTGAAGTTACGAAACATTTAGGCACGATCCTCTTAAGACAAAAACAAGATAAAAAAATAGCCTGTCATATTGTATTAAGAAAGATGAGAACACAGATAACTTTTAAAGTGTTATTCATTCAATAAAACGATATAACTTCAGCAGGTACTCGATTAACACTGATTTTGATATAAAACCACCGAAATATCTCCATGAAATAATCTCCTTCAAACCGTTGAACACCTCTTCAGAAGGTTTAATCTGTGACGAAAGTGAGAAAGTAAATTATTTTTGATTTAGATTGGTTTACATAGGGATAAACAGTATAGGTTTTCAAAATATGAAGATTTAGAAAATTATCTACACTTGCCTTAACGTGTGGATCAAACTAATCATTGTCTATATACAAGAGGTAATTGTGCCTTGCACATTAGTATACAAGAAAATACTAAAGTACTGTATTCTTTTTACACTGGATTGCATTTAAAAATATAGCTGAAATCTGCATTTCTTTCTGACCAGTGTAAACCCGATTTAACAGGAATTTATTCTACCATGCTACCTCCCAGACAACTGTTAGGAGACCAGTAGCTGTAATAACTCAGGTGTATTATATAACATAGAACAACCGTCAATAAACCCTTATAACTGCGATGTTTTTCTTTGTAAGATATCTCAGATTATTTATTGACAGTATTCAATAAAAAGTTCAAAAATTCACCTAAAATTAAATTTTTCCTTCATACTTTTGTAGTTATAACCTACTACATGTCAATGAAGATCACCTGAGAGTGAAAATGTCTGACGCAGGCCTAACTTTATGGTTAAAAAAATGCATTAAATACCAGCTTCTTTTCCAACTAATTATATCATATTACAAAAAACCCGTGGTTTCACTTACTCTTTGTACGGAGGGATTAGGGTCAACGTAAATAAATTTCTGGGAATCTTTTTCAAACACGTCACTGGTATGCAAAATCTTTCCAGATTGCAAAATTGCATCAAATTCATTTAACCATTGACCAAATTCACTCTGAAGAAGTAAATTCAAATAAAAATGTATATGAAATTCATATCACTCTGATTTTTGAAGATTTCGAAATTTCAAAAATCATCATCGATGTAATTAGGTAAAAAAACTTTATGGGTCTTCAAGTGTCTAAGGAACTGAAATATGATATAAAACCTTGGCCATTTGCTTTTAAAGCAAGCAAAACAAAAATAACATCTGTAAACCAGTGTTGAAACAGCCATTACGGCCCGTTTATGGAGTGAAAACTGAATATTTTTGGAAAGAACACATGGACTGGTCAATAAAGTCATGTTCAAAGCTTCACACTAATTCAGTATAAAAGAAGCCAAGTCAGATAACCAAGTTACAGAATAATAAATATATGCTATGGTAACTGTATTGAAGACCAAATGGATAGGTCTAAGATAGCATTGCAGCAAATTGGTTACCCAGTAAACCTCATAAATAATTACGTATTTACGCCTACAGAGACCATGAAGAAAAATATCATTGCTAAGAAACCTATTCATCTTAGACTAAGTTTCAAAGATGATATTACCTCTGATATCTTAACTCGCCAGTTGAGCAGGTCAGCCGAAAGAATATGACCAACTTAAAGTGCATTTATGAGTTCGACTGCTCGTGTGTAGCTGCTTACACAGACCGCACCTAAACGGCGTTATCCACTCGCTCTGGTGTAAATGTACCACCACGACTACGCCTCTTATCCACAACGGAAGCCATGAGAATCGAAACAAGAAAGCCCGATGTACGTGTTTAAGATACGTTTGTGAACCCATTTTATCTACTGTAGCCCACAACAAAGTCAATGCAATCTTTATGAAGCTTCCTATCATAAATTTCACATTTTATCCTCCCATCCCATCATTTTACTTTGTCTCTCATCTTAATGACAAACACTGATTTTCTAACATTATTAGTTTTAAGCCCTTGTTTTTCCACTCCATTTTCAGTAGTCATTTTTAACCATTACGTAACACTTCAAATTTTTTATTATTTGTTATTGTATTTGCACGATGTTTCACCCTACTTAAATATAACACGTCATAACCTAATACACGGTGGTCACTGTTTCGAACCCCACAGCGTCCGAATTTTCATTTCAACTACCGTCATCACCCAGTATAAATACAATTCTGCCAAACCACGGCTACCTCAGGTCATCAAAATGTGAATTATTTGATGTTTTCTAAGCAAACACAAATATATCAGTGCACCCGCTAGATCTATATAAATGGATCATCATCTCTAGGTTTCGCTTCCTTACTTTGTGATTGTTCTGCGCAAACTTACATTCATTCGGCTTGATCTCTTGTTTTGCATAACAGTGTTTCACTATTGGAATTATTTTATTTATGCTTAAGATTGGCTACTACTTTTCAGCTGTTCTCATGGATTTTGTAGTGTAAAGCCAAGAGAGGAATGTATTGAAAATGATTGTTTGCTCAAATTGTTCTTGTTCTGAATAATCCATAGTGATCATTAGGTTACTAAATACCAAATCTCATAGAACTTCATATTGTTTTCTAACTGCGGTAATTTGGAATTTCTCTCTTACACTTGAGCTTACTTTAGAAATCAATTCGTTCATCTATTGTTCGAAGTGAAATTAAACTCACTTTTAAGCGTACTAAATAACCACAGGCTACGGAGATTATTAACTTTAAATTGTTGAAATTAGTCAGTGTCAAACTGAAACACATCTAGATCATAATTTGAACAATATTTGGGTGAGTTTTCAACTCACTGACGATAAGTAGATTGACAACGTGAAATAAACTTTATGCCTTTTAGAAAGATTTCCATACTGAGAACTGTTAAAAATAATCACTGATTCAGTGAAATAGTACCAACTGGCGGATTCCAAATTGGAATAACTCCTCAGCCTATCATCATTTACTGTGACCTGAGAATCGCGGTTTTTTAATAACAGATTCTTTTAACAACTCTGAAGGAAGTGTATTATAGTGGAATAGATCTGCCACCCGGAGAGCGGCTTTTAGACCTTGACTATGCGGACGATTTTGAGTGATAACGCACAGGCCGATCAAGTTACACTTAATCAGTTGGCCATTAGAGTCTGTAACTATGGTATATACATTGCAGCATCAGAGTGCATAGTACTCTTGCAAGATTGACATGAGCCTTTACCTAGGCTCATCCTCAGCGGCGAGTTTTTGGGAGTAGTCGGAAAGTTCATGTATCTAGATTGTTGTGTGAGTGCTAGCGGAGGTGTGAAAGGTGTATTTTCCAACCACATACCGAAAACCAGACTGGCATTTGGCGCCGTTGCGACGTTAGTCTGACCGCCATAGGTCGGATTTATAAGGTTTTACTGCGAGCAGTTCTGCCCTGCACCTATTTAACCTGGCCTCTCCGACCTGAGAATATGCAACGACTCTGTGTGTTCGATTCGAGTTGTCTCCGTAGAGATGCTCGTATCCGGTGGTAACACCGTGTGAGAAATTCAGCGTACATTTGGGCATGATGTAGACCGTTATTCAATAAGTGAAGTCATCTGGATACACCGGCCTTAGTGGTTTGGACATGTGTCACACATGCTGTCCCAACGGCTTCCACAGCACTCATAGATTTTTAACCTCGTAACTGGCTGAAAGAAGCTGAGGGTTAGTCAGTATATGACGTAGCGTCGTGGGACGAAAGACAGTTGTTGATACATCATGACTCCCTTGGTGGTATCCAAGTGATCATACAACTCAGTGGCTTGAGAATTTATCAGATATGACTCAGAATGGAAACCAGTGGTCATGCTCTGGCTTCCTTCAATCTTCTGCTGCTGGAAAATAGTGGGTTTTTCGTTCCGAATGTACCTTACTGGACCGCTCTTCTAATCTTTCTACTCTTATCGTGTTTTTCTTTTAAACTTATTCACTTCCCTCGCTTTATGTTTTCATGATGTTGTTATACTACTTTGTGTCACGCATTTGTCAGTGACCCTCCTGTACCACTTTTTTGTGCTAAAAACAATAGTAGTAAAAATTTTACTCACCTGAAACCCTTGATTAGATCGATTTGAACTGTCTGCATCTGGCGACTTTTCTGTTTGTTTAACTGAAGATATTTTAAGTGAAGTACTTTTACTACTTGCATCTACTTTTTCTGTGTCAGACAGAACATTAGCTGCAGCATACTTTATCATAATTTTGTTGAATTGTTCAATAGCTTTGAAAAATACTGCTTTATCTTGGAATGAAACCAAGCGAAATTGATACTGTTGCGCTTCACTAAGAAAACAGAATTGCAAGGCATAAAACTATTCAATAATTCATCAGTTTTGCTTTTAGGAGTCCACTATGTTCTTTTTCATAATACATATGAATAAATGTTTACAAATGATGTTTACTAGGACTGATCAAATGTAGACTGACATCACTGATACAGATAAATATAGAGATATGTGTATGCTACTAACTTTTCGACAGTAAATAAAATAAAATACATTATAATAATGATGGATCATGGCTAGCAGTGGAATTCAGAATGCGCATTTCGTCCTATTTGGGACTTGTGAGCTGGATGTACCTGCTTAACAGTGAGTGATATTGTTCCCACCGGGGATTCGGTCCAAGCAACGATGGTATCATATAAAAACAATTGTACCAAAATACATTAGTTTAAATAGAATACATTTATTACTTGATTTACTGGAATTCGTATAATTTACTGATTGTAAAAGTCATAGACTTAGCACATTGCACTGTAAGCTTCCAATGGATTCAATAAAATGGTGAGAGTGATCATCCACGACAATAATCATGCACCTGAATAGACTTGTACTGCATAGTAATTATTCATGACTAGTTTTTATTGATTAGGAGTATATTTGTAGGCAAATAACTCACATTACCCCATCACGATGTATAAATGTTGTTATCAGACATTCAGTTATATATTTCATAATTAATTTTAAATTTAACAATTGATGACAACAACCTGTTTTTGTAAATGCAGATGGTTAATGTGATATTCTGATACTTGTAACTTTCCGTTACTACACAGTATCGAAATATTCGACATTTATTTACCTCTAATGACACCACTGGCTTGGTGGATTACGCTTTGGAATCTAAAGCATTGGGTACTGGGTTTCAGTCTCAGTGGGAACAACATCAGTCACTGGGGCGCAGGCTCAACCAGCTGGTGAGTCCCAGATAGAATAAAAGGTACGTCCTGGTCACCAAGATGAATACGTAATATGATTTCACTTCATTCATTGTTCATACATGCCAAAAACAGGACCGAACTCATTCTCTGAATAAGCAACTTAAAGGGAATCGTAAAATATCAAACATTTTCCATTCCTCTATGATTTTGTGAGTAAAGTTTGATTGTTAGACATTTGTTCGAACGTTGGGTTAGTAAACATTTGATCTTTTTGAATTCTTAACTTAATATTGGTTGCTGAGTTATTGATTTTACCAGTGAATCATTTATTCCTCAAGAGCAACCATGCAGTATAGTTCCTTGCTGTTTCATCACTGCAATTTTCAATTATATTAGCTACCATAAATTTGCAATAGGTTGCACTGAATACATAATACTATTATTTTAGTGGTGTGGTGTTTGTTTAGTTGGATAGTTTAATCGTGAAGCTTTGATTGTCATTCTAGACAGCGTCATCGAAACAAACCTTTGTATGTGGCATCGAAACTAGCTCATTGTGTATTCAGAAATGGGACTCTGATGGTATAGTTTATACTATTGTTGAAAAATTGGAATAAGAGTCACAGTATACTCCAATATTGGTGAAATGCATGAGAAAGAATTATGACTTCAGCGTTACCAATACTTCTATATATACCTACAATTACTCACGATTTTGTCTTGTTTTGACAGTAATAGATAAGCAACCATAGGTTTTTATTGATAGAGTTTTCCTGTTCCAGACTGTCTATCATTTGTACCAATAAACGTTGCGCTAGTTTGTTTGTTCTTTGTTTCTTTTCATTTCCCATCCGAACTTGGGTTTGAGGTTCAAATTGCAACTTATATGGTGCAATATTTAACAAGATGGAGTTTTCGTAATCAGCATCATTTGTTGTCTGATGACACCAGATGAATTTTGTATTTGTATTGTTTAACACTGTGGTCAAACCTTCACTTTCAGTGATTCTACTCATGTTATGCAGGTAAAGTTGGAAGGAAGTAAAACGTTGACACCAGTATTCCGCGTGTTGGGAGTAATATGGTAATGGAATTATCGGAATTAACAGATCTCTTTTGAAGAATTGGCTGGTGAGTTCCATATTTTCAAATTCTATGATAAGTGGGAAGAAAACGATATGTCAGTGGGATGCACAGTTACTCTGTTCATGATTCAAATTTATTGAATTTATATTCTTATTTCCTTTAACCCCTCTGCCTAAATCAGTACGCATAACTTACCAATCCACTGGTTTCCTTCCGAATGAATGGTAGTACGATTGCAGTGGTAGTCGACAACTTGAAGACTTATCTCATCCCTTACTTGTGGCCTTTCTGTCCTTGTATCTCACTAAGGTGAAAAGAAGCACAAGTTGGCAACATGTGAGCGAACCTTTTATATTCGTTGCTGGACTTTGGCAATCACTAAAACGCCTAGGATACTTCGTCTTTGTAATTAAGTGAAGTGATCAAAAGGCTTTGCGCCATCTTATTTCTTACTTTCAACACAGACAGCGCCTGAAGCAAAAAATCCTATTCCGTTGGCAGGGACCCATCTCAAAGTTTCTTAAGTCCACCCTCATTTCATCCTTGGCATTCTCCATCTTGTCAACATCACATAAATAAGTGGTTCCATTTCAGTAATATAAGTTTACCAAGAAATCTCTCACGACTAGGTAAATCCAGGTAAACTAAGATAGGGAGGACGATACTTACACAAGCATATCTATTAAAGAATGAGATAAGAATAAATAAAGCCGGTAACCTTGACGGACACCACATGATCAGCATAACTCACCTCATACTTCTCCGTATGCTTTAACATACCCACTCGGTTTCGAGTAAACAAGGTTTAGTGGAATTGTAAGTCTGCCCATCGCCCATTGGAAGACGCTTACATAAAATCTCTTAAAAACGAGCTTAGGTGCCACTTTCTGGCAGCGAAAAATCGTTAGTGACAGACTGTGTTTGGAATGCCAATGTTTCAAAATCTGGTACATAGCAAATATTTGGTCGACATTCAGTCAGGTGTAATACCTGTGTGGCTTTTCGAGTTTACTGTTTTACAGCTTCAGTTAGGCATATAATGAACACAGACACTGTGATCGCAGACAAAATACTAGCCATACTGATTTCCTTGCGGTTGATTAAGGAGAATTTTATTTCTTTCTTGGTGACTGGGACAAACAGTGAATAAGACCAGTTTGAATTTACAATTCTTAAGTTAGCACAAGCTGGTTATCATCTCAAGTAGTATAGACAGTTATCCTCGGTAAAAAATTTTAAATACTCCAAATGCTGGTCCACAGAAACTTGTAGAGATAATCATCCGGGGTTTTTCATAGCTTTCTCAGCTACTATGAGAACTGAAAGTTCTGTCTCAATGTTCCACTTAGGTAACAAGCAGAAAGCAAGTGACTGAACAGTAGCTCCACGAAATGTTCTCCTTATCATCTAGATTGTCTTTCCTGTCTTTCCTATGACTAGAGTCTCATCACTCATCAACATTTTCATTCATCAGCATAAATAACTGCCTAATGCTACCTATCGTCACTACCTTCTCCACCACATTACTATTTACTGTCCACCACTGGTCACGATCATTACATCTGAGCCGCATCCACTCCCCATTGCGTTCGGATTCAACAAGAATGTCTTAACGTGAATCCGCCAAGTTAGAAAAATTTACTGACGTTCAATGACTTCTAAAAAAAAAGGTTTTTAAAGACAGGTTAGAGTCTGTGAGGTTTTTTATTGCAGCAGGCTGAATATCTAATGAGAAAAATGTCTCTTGTTCTAATAGACATTTAACAAGTTACTTCATGGAAGTGACGTTAGCCTTCTTATCAACGAGCTGAACTCAAAATGATCTTGCTTTCACAATCGTCTCATTTCTAATTCAAAGAGCAGACATTCACATGCTTTCTAGTTCGAAGCATAATACATCATCTGGTGAGGTGTTTGGAACCTGAAAGCTTCGATGTTTAATTTCAAGCAAGATTTAATGAGATTATGGATGCTGTTTCATGGACAAAATCATTTCTTGAGACTTAAAACTTCATAAAAATTGAAAGATGACTTATGTTTGTTAACATAAAAGTGTGAAAGATGATTAGATGGAAAGAAAAGGGAGAGTTTATAATTATAAGAAAGAACTTCAAGGCTTATATAAGTCTGAGGAAAAATGACACTCATTGATTACTCACTATGAGGAAAGGTTTTTACCCTAGAAATGCCTGAAAATGAGATTGAACTAGTAATAATAGCCCATAACTTTGAGACTCGTTGCGACAGTGCCAAAGGCCGAACCCACACTTCCCTTCTAAGAATCTCTGATTTATTCATGATAACATCAAACTGAAGGTACCCTCACCGCTGCCATTGCATAGACTTAGAGCAAGGTTGCTTTTTTTGAGCCGGTGAGCATGGCGAAAACCGGTATGCAATGGTAATGCCAGAAAATTTTACAGCTGTAAGACAACGCCACGCCAGTAGTACTACTTCTGTTTCTGAACTCTACCACACAAGAAGGTGTCTATATTATGACAGTTGCTGCGTTTTCCCTTCCCACTAACTTTTATAGTATCATCTCGAGAACTAATATTTAGAGACTCCACATATCGCTTCGTCTAGCAATGAGCAAATCAGACGATCAGGCCAGGGTAGAAACTATCGTTCACGAACGAAAAGAATTTGGAAAATGTTGAGCTACATACTGCTACACGACTGGTTGTTCAACAGAAAACCGTGATGGGTGGTTAATGTTGTGTTAAGCTTTTGTAGTGACCACTGGTTTAAGTAATGATCGAGTGAGCTCACAAATTCACTTATTTTCTAAATGTACGGATTCTGTAGGGTTGGTTACTGAAAAAATCACTAGTATGTGCAGCAAGCCCGTTCGGAATCTACTGGATGAGGTTATCTCTGATGATGGTTAGATTATCCTAGTCCAATTTTAAGTCAAATTACTATTCAGTAGAACTGAGACGTTAACAAGATAAGAAGTCAGTGGAATGCTACAAGTTCATTATCAGATGTTTCTTTCTAACAAAATCAACTTGTGATAGAATAGTGAGCACCCTTGAGTTCAGGCATATAGTATTAGTCAAAGTAGATAAGTTAGCTGGTCTTTCAAATTTGTTACAAACTCCAAGCATCTGTAAGCTTCAGTGTGAAGCATCAGCTAAAGATTACCCCAGAAAAAAAATAAAGCTGTCCAGATCAAGAAATGCTATCAATACTTTTAAGCCTGTGAATGTTTGGTCTCAATGATGTCTAAATGTGTTGATTGCCATATTTGAATTCAAGAGATGTTGTGATTCAGCCTCTGATAACTGAATGACAGTTTGAACCCATTCAACAATTATCAACAATACAATAGTTAAAAGTTTAACTAAACATCATTCAGTATTATCTTTTTCGATGTACTTCCTAATGTTGTTCATTATAATCCATAAGGTTTTCGTTTATATCGTAAAGTTAGAACAAGGAATTCTGCACAAAACTCGATGTTGATAAGTGTGATTGTCTATCAGTGTGAACTATTTCAAACCAACGAGTGTTGTTTGAACTGATGCTTAACATTATACAAAATTAAGTAGGTAAGTGAATAATACTTTTTGAATCCATGTCACTATAAAATACTAAGAATAACAATAAAAAGTTTAATTATAAAGCAATATTTCAACATCTACTAACGTGTTTTTGACGCTTTGTGATCATAATTGCCTTCACATAAATTTTCAAATGTCTCTTTATTCTCGTTTGAAGATTGCCTAATGTTTAACAGATTTTCATATAAAATTGATTGGTACAGTTTGATTGTATCCATATTTACATGATCCAACTTAACGTCAACTGTTTGTTTCCAGTCTTTCTCTTCTGGTGTTACTTCTCTATTCTCTTGATCTTTCAAACTGAAGACAAATAAGGAATTCCAGTATGCATTGACCTCATTTTGATCTCGAACATAGTCAATCGGCCGTTTAATAGGTTTTGACTTTATGTCTATGTTCATCATTTCATAATCAATTTCATCTGCAAATGAATAGAACGTAATTTATCATTTCTGTGGAGTCAAAAGAACATAACTGCTTTATATCACCCAATAGATTGAAAAAGCTCTTGTCATTTACACTTCTACTGAAGATGTTAAGCATCTGCAACTACTTACTCATTTTCCGGTCAAAACTTAGATATTTAGCTAAGTAAATAAACCCTGACCATTGACAGATTGTACATCTCTTCCAGGCAGCATACCAATCAAACTATGATTCGTATACATTTCCTTGATTCGTAGATCGATAACTGTTGTAAATATCAGTACAATGATCTTAACACAATGTAGCTTAGAAACATAGCACAACTAATGATATGATAAGTCGGTTAATTTTCCATATTGACGATAATATTTGAACCAGAGAGGACCCTGAAAGTGTTTTATACTAGTACTATAAAGAGATTACTGTGCATCATATTCACACGATACTTCAAAACGTAATGCATGTAGTTTAAATGCTGGCTCAATGCTTAAAGCTGTTTCAAAATTTCCCACACATGAGTATTCTACTTAAAATATGCGGCTGATTGAAGCGGACAATTAAGATGGCCACAGATACACATGAACACATGAAACACTGAACACTATGTATCGCTCAGTTTATATAGATTTTACATCCAATAAAGTTGAAAGTGTCTATTGCACAATCTTTCAAAAGCACCCTGAATTAAAAAAAATATCCATAGTTTCTTTTACTTTTTTTTCTATGATCCACATATGCTAGGCGTTTAATAGTATTAGGATGTTGACTGTTTTAGAAACTTAATGCACAGAGTAGTTCAGATGAGTTAAATGTATTTTCATCATCCTGAAACCATAACAAAAGATGGTTCCTGTAATTTGTATGTGACAGGAAATCTTTTTTGAATACTAGTGGATAATATAATGAAGTAAACAGAAGTTCAGTTGTGTATGCCAAGTTAGACTGGAACAAAACCTTTCACGACATTTCACCTTAAGTACACACGAAAAATATCCAATAACTCTTGAAGGACAAGGGCTTTAGTCTGATTAGTTGAAATTTACTCCATTTATAGTATAACTTTAAGAGATAGCCATGCATTTCTGCTTACATCTGTGGATTCTAAGATCAGGTGTTTATCAACATAGTATCCAGTATTAATGCATAATGCTCTTCATTGGTACATCTCATTCAAAGACATCAAAAGAAAAGGCATCACGACAATGCACACAGACATCTTGAAAGGACATGTAACCAATATAACGTTTACAAAAAAGATCCATTTTTTTATTATTTAACTTTAAGTAAATCTTCGTCTCTTTGTTTGCTGCATACAATTAAAATTATCCTTTTGAAGTATTTATTCTAGTTTCTAGTTAACTAATTACGTCTCCATTGCAATTTTGACGATTTAAACAAATCAGCTGATCTACTATAATTAACCGTTGACGTGAAGTGGGAAAGACTGGCAGAAGAAAAATGTTAAAACAAAAAAGTATGATATTTAAAGCCACAATCGAATTTTTAATGATCGATTGGACGAGCTATTCCAAAATCGCTTAAACCTATTATTGTTATTACTTTTCCCTTGGGTTCCTAGTGGAACATAGGGCTTCAGTAGCACGTCTCCATGGGACTCTCTTCTCTGCAGTCTTTCCAACCTTGCTCCACCACTGTCCACAAGCCTTCATTTCTTCCTCACATGATCTCCTCCATGTCAACTGTCGCCTGGTTAACTAGTTCACTAGTTACTAGCTGGCTTTAAGCCTGGATAAAGAGCGAAGATTGGCCATAGGACTAGCAACCCCACCCTATTTGTATACGTAACATAGAAATTACGTTTCTTGAAAATGTAGTCTAACCAATGCTTAAAGGAAGTTAGTTTATGAATTAATCAACTAGTAAACATTGACTTAAGGTACAATTTACCACCTAAATTTACGACTATTTTCATATTTATTAGATGCAGAATAAAATCCCAATTATGTTTATGACTTTCTCAGATATTGTCGTGTTTCAAAAAACGGGACAAATAAACAAGCAGACATTTTCTCGATTTTCTTATCTTTAAATTTCTCTAAGACTTTCATAAATTTTATCCTAATGAAATATGACGAAAATGTGAAAATGGAGAAATCGATGTATTGAATTCTATATAATCGACCACAGGTGAAGAAAAACAGATTGGAGGAATTGGGTATTGTTTTTTTTCTTCAAACAAGTTTAATTTTTGAATAAATCATTCACTACTCAGAAATTTTATTGTAGTCTTGTTTCTCAGACTTGTGGTGCCTGCATATAAACGATTATCTTTCATACAAATAAAGAATTAATTAGAAAACATTAAAATGATATTTACAGGTAAAAAATAAACAAAAAATGATTCATTGTATATGCTAGTGTAAACAGCTAAATTCAGTCAATAAGCAAAGTATAGTTTTGATGAATGTCTATGATAACAGAACTGTGGAAAATACATATCACTGAAGATGTTAGCTACAGAGTATGAAATTTTATTAACTGAACTAATGAGCAGTTATAAAATACGTCTTCTCCACTTGTTATCTGCAGTAAATTATCCTCCTGACAGAACGATAAACGCAATAATAAGTAATATTATTTCATGAATATAGTGTAGTATTTAATGTACAGTCGGCAATCAGTATGACCTTAGGCGATAAAGGATAGAAAGATTTGTTCAAAAACTGGATCCTGATAATCTCTGTTCAAATGATCTGTTATAAATACCAATATAAATGGAATGTAAATCGAAACAATTGTTACTTCATAAGAAATTATAATATGATAAAATTTCATCATATGGAATTCTAGGAGATATTTTTGTAATGGCTGATCAATAAGGTGAACACTTTTAATCCAATTATGAATAGTCATTAAACATTGCTGTCTTAAAAAATAACCTTTATGCTTGCAATGATTTATAGTGAGTAGCAGAAGAATCTAAAACGCACATTTCATTCTTTTTGGGATTAACCAATACAGTGCGTTTGCCTCATGTAAGTGGGGTTTTTTTCACTAAGACCCGAACTGAGAACCAGTCACATCGAAGGCCATAGCATTATCCGCCAGGCTACTGAGTTGCAAGGCATATTCATCCATTTTAAAAGTCCTTGATATGACGAAACACAAGTGCTGAATTCCCCTGCTAGCCATTGTCCATCAGTGCATTCAGAATTAAATTACTGGCAATATCAAGACAACCAAGCAAGAGCCTATATGCAGATATACGAATAACGGTCGACTGATTCGATCCTACCAAAGATGAGGAATTGAAGGCAATAAAGCTTTTCATCATGATTTAAGTTGTACTGAAGGCGTTAAAAATGGTCGGATTATCTTAAGCAAAAGTTGTTTCACATAATGAGACGAAATAATTGTTCAACACATGTTGAACCAAATGAACTTCTGGGGATAGTTTTACTACTCATGTAAGCAGGCAGGCGAACAGTTATCTATAAGCAAAAAGGATGTGTAGCTCAACACAAATCGCTTCACACACAATGGCCGTTCTAGGCTTCCGGGTCGTGATAGTCACATTTTCGAAAACAAATAAATCCATCTAAAAAGTCTTAAATAGGACGAAATGCACGTTCTTGGTTCTACAACGAACCACTATCCATCCTTACTATCAAGCTTACTTTATCGTTAATACAGCAGCATTCACCGACGATTGCCTATTTGAATATTGATTGATTAGCATGGTTCAGTAAAAGATGATGAACTACGAGCTATAACAACCAAATTCATTTAGATTGACAACTTTCAGACCTTTAAAATATTTGGAATAAAGAGCTTTGAGAAAAGGTGGTTATAACATCTTCATTAACTTCTTTTATCAAGGAACCTAACTTTTACAGTCCCTGATGTATTGTGTTAAAATCATTCTACTGACAGAATTTCGTAGTACCCAACGTTTCAGATTTGTGCAAAACCTTTATATTGTGAAAAGAAAAATTAATTTTAACGCTCTTATGTCATATACTGCAAGATTTTAGGTTTCCCTCTGCTCTAATCAGAAATTAGTAAATTAGTGAATTACCACAGATTTCATTAATATAGCCTAAAAATAAACGAAAAACAGTTCAATTTCATTATTGTGTGAAGCAAAGTAAAGTCCTCATTGCAAGCTAACATTTGTTGGTATTCATAGCTGAATAAGCCTGTTTATCCTCCTGTTCCGTCACAGTTGGCTTTACTACAGACAACTTAAGTCAGGTTATTGTTTTCCTTATAGAATAATGACAGATAACCACTGTCAGTGAATGCTACTGTTTCACTGTGTGATATTTCTAATAAACAGACTAAAATGGAATTACAATCGACCATAGTACCTAAGTTTTACACTTATATTATAGATAACCACTGAGTTCTGACTTTATTCTAATCTCAAAATAATCTCACCAACAATTCCAAAAAACGTTAAAACAGCTCTAAAAGAAAGTTTTGTCTACAAATTTATCTTGATTGTATATTTTGGCATAGCGAAATGTGATACCTACCTTGTGCGAGAATTGCTCTGGAGTCCAAACACTTCTGTGCCACTAAATCGAACTGATGTATTGCTGGTAAATTCTGCACAAATGCTTTATTCGCTTTGGAATCCAAAAGTTTGGAAGGTTCCGTCTTAGATGACTTAGAACCGATCGATTTCTTATTGTTATTTTGTCCACTGCTTCTTGATAAGTAGGTTGATTTAGCATCAGATGATGATGAACAAAGATGTCTACTTTCAGACAAAAACGCATCTATCATAGTTGCAGAATTCCAGATTGATAGAATAATAGATTTCACAGATGTGTTTGTTAAACCTTTACTTTTGAATATCCCGTTTGATAGATCTATTTGAGAATCCTTTTTCACTGAGCCAGTTTTAGTCTTCTGCTGTTAATTAAAGTGATTTTCAGCAAATAGTATTAGTAGATTGGTTTAATCGTAAACGTAGAGAAGTATAAATGGAGCATTTCTGAATATATATGCATGTAAAACCTCATAATATGATGGTGGCGTTAAACGTAGAAAGCCTAAGGAATACAGTGATTTAGAGATTTCACATTACATAATCATTGCATATCTTCAGTCTATACACATGAATCGTGTTTTCGCTATTTATTTCAATACCTTTTATTCCTTTTCGCTAAATGAAACCCTATCATTCAGCATGCAAGATCTTTAGAGGTTTTAAGAATACGCTTTTGTAAATAGTACAAAACATATGCTTGTTGGTGTGTATTCCAACAACTAGTACACAAAGGTTCGTAGGCAACAAAAACTTGAATAACAATAATTTCACCTTTTATGAACAATTTCTGATTATCTAAACGGGAATACTTAAAAGCAACAGAATTCAATAACAGGTGTCAAGAGATCGTTATGAATCAAGATTTTAAAAAGGGCGCATTACAATAATCAAAGTAACTGTAAACTCCGAAGTCTATGGGTTTTTTAAAAATCTCAGTTCATCACGAACTTTTTGCATAGGATTAACATTCCAAAAGTTTCGAAGTTGAAATAGGAGAGGAAACGACATGGAATATAGTCAAAGTTTCCATTTTTAAAAGCAGATGAATTTGTCGTATGTCATCTCAATCAGTAGGAATTTGTCGCTTCTATAGCTCCAAAGTTATGAGTTTGCTTCTTTTATCACATACGCAATCGTGAAATCAAAGCTGAAATGCTAGAATATTAAAACAATTGATAAGATTATAATCAAAGCTCACCACGTGGATGTCCATGCAGTAGGCTTTGAACCACACCTAATATGTGGAGGCTAGTGATACTATCTGACTACCCAGACCTCGTTAAGGTGAACGGTATTTGAACTTGTGGGCTGCTGGTTGCATGTAAACTACACAGAATAGACAGCCATGAGCCAACTGTAAATTTGTTAGAAAATTAGGAATATACGTCTACATAAATCTTCAAATCAGCATCGCAAGATGGATAGCCAAGTTTTTACTTAAGAGTCATTACTACTTACAAGTCACAGGTTTGATTGTTATCTATTCTATTCACAAAACAATAGTACTCAATTTACCTTTTTAAACTTCCATGAAACCTTTACGTTTTTCAATGTTTATCAATAAGTAGGTAGTGTTTTTGGATTTATTTATTTATAAATTGTTGCAGCCCAACGTTGATAAGGTGTTTTTTAAGATCTACTCTCATTGGATGATTTTTAATTCATCTTAGCATCAAATGAGTAACTTTTCACTTCAGAGGTCTGAAATGAGACAGTTTATTGTAAACATCGTATAGGGGACAGAATATTCATTTATGTGAATACATTCTTAATAGTATTTCAGAAAAACGGCTTTAATGAAGTGAATACTTATTTCATTGAATATGTTGCGTCATCAGTTTATGGCGTACAAGTGAGCATTCATCCCAGACTTTTACAACACCCAGTTTATAGCATTTGAACTTTTTAAAATAAATCCCAATCACTGACAGCAATAACTGTTAACATGTGGGTTTACTAAAAATTATTATTATATTGTTATTTTTCCTTTGGGTTCCCAAATGGAATACAGGGTTTCAGTAGCACATCTCCATTGCACTCTGTTCCCTGCGGTCCTTTCACCCTGGCTCCACCACTGTCCACAAGCTTTCATTTCTTCCTCACATGATCTCCGCAATGTAACCTTTGCCTCGGACGCCAAACTCCTTGATTCCACTTTGAGTTCCACTCAAGGACGTGGCCAGGCATGTGGTATTTCTGAATGATCTCATGAGTGTATGCCCAATCCGTCTCCATTTTCTTCTACATACTTCTCTGGCGATAGCTTCTTGGTTGGTGTGTGGTGTAGTATTGTATGATTGTGACTCTCCTTCCTTCTGAGTTGAGTCTCGCAATCATGATCCTGATAGTTGAGATTGGTTCCCACTGCATGGGAGCCTTCGATGTTCTTGGAGAAATCATGATAGCCACTCCGAAACTCAGCGTGCTCGTGGTTGTCGTGTCGTGTGGGTGACAATATCGGAGTAGATTATTGACTCCTCTCAAATTGACAGTTTAGACAATCCACTTCCATACCATCTGCAGATTCTTTGCAGACTCCTAGCACTTGTATGCCACAGATTCTCATCTCCTTGACATTCTGAGCAGCCTAGCTGTGTTTAAACAGAGTGCGGATATTCTATATCCCCATGTTTACTTTTGCTTTGATCAAGCGAGAGAAGATATATCTGTCGATTGGCTTGTCGAAGACTTTTACCAACTGGCGTCATTTTGTCTCCCTAATTCCAGCGAGGAATAAGTTTATTTTTGTTTTATATATTTTGTCTGTGCTTAGACGTTTTTGTGGCGGTTTGATTTGCTTTCTGGTGTAGGGTTGCTAGCCGTATGCCTAACCTTCCCCCTTTATGAGGGCTTAGGACCGGCTATTAACTAGTGAACTAGATGCCCAGTCAATGTTGTTTACTAAAAATACTTCACCTAATTTCCGCACAGGTTTTACGCTATAAACGAAGGTAACATAACGCTGCCTCTTTTGATGTGCATTACGTTTTGCTTCTTAATAAAGCTTACACAAAAATTAGGCGGTGATTTTAATCTTGATCGAACAAATTATGACCAATAGTAAATAAAAGGCATTCAGCATGTGATTTGTTTCGATTGCGTGCAATCAAAGACAAATAAATAATAAACGTTGCGTTTGTAGAAAGCTGCCTTAGTTACTTGTCACCATGCTAGAAAGTAGATATATCATAAAGAGAACGATAATGAGGCATCGAAAAATTTATATGGAGAAAAGAAAAGAAAAAGTACAGTTAGGTAAAAAGGTGGGTTGTTTTTTACATGTAATTTATTTTCAACATCCTGGTGACCTCACGAGTTTAGCCTACAACTTATTACGTAATTAAGGTAGACATTCGCAGAACTCCCAAGTTAGAACCATTCTTCGATTGAATCGTCTTTTGCTTCTTTTCAGCCAAAAGCCTTCCTTAATTAACACCATAGATTAAGCTAGGCCATAAGAATAAAGAAGGGTTCACAACAATATTCCATGGTTTACCTTCATTGCCTACGAGTTCATCTAACTTGAACAATGCTCATATTATGTTTAGAAAACGAGTCGGAAAAGTTATATCCTCCTTATGCCTCCAACTTTCGATATTCCGGCAACATGGTCAAGGTTATTAATAATTTCTCAGACCTTTTTAATAAAATCTCTCTGTTAAGCTTTTATATTTCTTGGTTCATTGCGATCAGTGTTCACAATAACTTGAATAACGAAATCACTTTTTAGCATTCCACATGACCAAACGGATTTGAAATAAGTTTAGAAATATTGCTTAGTGGAAAACACGTTGAGCCTGGGAGATGTAATGGTTCTGCTTTTTACATATATATAGGATGTGAAATGTTAGATATCAGTAATAATCTTATATAGAAGTTTTGCCTAACTAAGAAAAAGTATATCAAATGAAGAAATGAATAGTAGTTATGTGTTCTCTACGACCTATTTCACCCCGTGTATGATAAACAATAGTAGAATTCTTTCAAATCTTCATTTTGTTTACAAATTTCTCATTCCTAGCTGAAAGAATTGCATTACACAGCCGTATCACTTGTTTATTTGTCATTTTTTGGATAAACCACAGGGTTTCTCATCTACAGGGTGCCTCTATTCATAGGTGATATCAAACACCAATATCTGAGTAATGAATTTATTCATATTTGAATTCTAAATACCATTCTTCCTTCAAAATTCACCTACAAAAATCACATAATATATGACAATGAAAAGAAAACTTTTCGTGAAAATAGAAAAGATAACAGTACTTACAGTATCTCCTTCTTGTTTTCCATTTAAACTGCTTAGATACTGATATCTTTCTTGTATAAGCACCAGTTGCCAAAAGTAAACTAACATCATCTGAGTTCGGTGTTGAAAACTATTCGTCGTAAAAGAAAAAGATTTTAAAAGAAACCACTTCGAAATTCTTATGGAGGATATGCAGCTGATAAATAAATTTTGATACAAAGATTAATAAACAGGGTCACAAGTTATCAAATGGTAACGATTACATGCACTGGTAACTTACTTTTAATGTCTGTTTGTTACAAACAATTCAAGCAACACTCCTCTGAAGCTGTTTCTTTTCAAACAGATGATTGGAATTACAGATTTTGAATGAGATACCAATCACAATGTAAAATGGTTTGAACATGTTCGGTAGAAGCCGAAATATTCTACTAGGATTTACAATTCTACGGAATGATGTTTTCATAAACCAATTACTTTACATAACACCGTAATATGTTCATAAGTAAGACGATGGTTGTTTAAACTATTTGATACACATGATACATGATAAAATCAATTTCATAAAGTAAATTTTAATCCAAGTTCTGTTTTGACATACTGCTTACGTAGTCACAAAATTGAAGTACTCATGCGTATAAAACTTGTCTTAATTTCACCATAGCTACTCATCATTTTCTGTTGACTCAGCAGATTTCTTATAAACAAGGATGAATTTTGCATGTTAAAGCTAGTACCCCTGGTTGTGGCAAGATCCAAGCCTGTACATTTCGGAGTGAATAACCACATATGATCGGCTATATTATTTTCTTTGCTTTTCTGAGAACTCTCTTCAATAGTCAGTTTTTGATATAATAGTATGGTTAAGAATATATAACAGGTTTTTATTGATCTGTCACCTACTACTGTACGAATAGTGGTTTTTACATGTCTTCATGGTAAGCAAAGTTAAATTTAACGCATGATCGCGTTTTCTATTTTTAAGATCAGTGATTGTACGTTCTTTAAATTTGGTGCTTTGTGAATTTTCAATTCAATCATAAACATATTTGTGATTCAGAAAGGGGACATATAAAGACTGAGAGCTATCAGTCTCATTGAATATGAAACATTGCAATTATTTGCGGACCTAATCACGTGAGAGGTTAGTGTTAGATGAGAATCAGAAAAACCATACTAATTAGAAGACTACCACTAATCAGACATACAACAACGACGAAGTAGATTTCGGCTTTCTTCATCATGAACAGAAAATTACATTTATGCAGTTATAACATGATTGAAGACTATAAATGAAAAATAATTATAAAATCCCAATATATTTCATTAATAATCCATAAACGTGATCTTTAATCAACTGTTTCGGGTTCAGTTTCCATCCTGTAGTCTAAGATTCATTTGATCATTAAACCAGGTGTTCATGCAAGTCTTTTTTTCCTCATTTCGAGAGAAGGTTGACCGGTAGAGCAACTGATTAGGTACCTACGTTACTGTCTGTGTCTTAACTAGTAAACTTCATGCATGGGTATGAGAAGTGAAGCTGAAAATCTCCAAAAGTGGAGCTGACTGGAAATAAGTTAAATAATAAGGTTTCAATAATCTAACATTGAGGCACTAAGTCAGAGGTTACTGACTTGAATTTATGTTCGAATAGTGTTTTTACTTTAAGTGAAAAAGTTCTGTCAACTAGAAATACCTCATGGAGTCTTACTTACACTGCACCCAAAATATTTTCTCTTTATTTTGACATTTTTTAGTGAAGTAAGATTAGTTCTGTCTCCACAGTTCTGCTGACCTTTCTGAATAATCGATCTTTTTATTGGTCAAAAAATTGGTGCATTTTTATGCTAAAACCTTGCTGTTCAATACTTTCAATGACTTTTAGAAAGATGAACTCAGAAAACAATTATCGGTTAAGAAAGTTGTGAGATAAAAGGTTTTTGAGCATTAAATTGACCTTAACCTAGTTCAATGGCAGATAAACATTGTGACAGCGCTTATTAGTGGCTAAAAGAACTATCAGTTTACACCACAGATACTCAGTCATTTGTATACAAACTCACTTTGAAAAGTTAAACAAAACTATTCGCAAAAATTACTACAAATTTAACGTTCTAATATTCGAAAATAATTGGTACACATCATGAGGATACGCTATTCTATGAACAGATTGGGAATTTTCGGGAGAAAAATTAGTCAAAGAAATAAATGAAGTCCGCTGAAAAAGCAAAAGATTTGTCCTATCCAAGGAAACACGTACACCTATTGATATAAGTGTACTTTTAGCTCATTTAATCCACACTGTGATCCAATTCAAAGTTTCGTTTTGGGAAACATAGTAACAAAAAAACACCAGCATATGTTCACAGTTATACAATGGTTAAAAAAGAAAGCTAAGGAACATTTATTTTTCATACTACCTACCTTCAAATGAGAGCATAGTTAGCGTGTAACGTTTCTTAAAAAATGAAAAACAAGTAACTTACTGCTAGATGTGAGCTTTGATAATATCTGAAACAGTTTTCCGTTTGTTTTTCCCATCGAACATTTTAACGTTGGATAATTACACTTGGTGAAAACCATAGGTGATATTTCGAAGTTAGTGTGTACTGAAATTACTTAGACACTTCATAACAGAATGGAGACAAAGTCTCTATAGTGACTTAGAAAGTGCCTTTAGCAATCACTTTTTCTGAATAAATCTTTGCCTTTTGATACTTAGATTCATTGAAGGAAAACATTGCCATCTGAAATCTCGTGACATTTAACAATAATCGTAAGACGTTCTGTGTATTTTCACAAATATTCTTTTCAGTCAATGGTTCAGAGTTATGTCACCTGATGCCAAAGTAAGAGGTTTTAATTCACAGCTACTCATAGTACGAGTAACGTCATTTTGGTTGGATTATTTATGTGAAGTGTTTAGTAGACTGTAAGCGATAGAACTATCAAGCCTTCAATAACATATCCTTCTATTTTTTTAGAATCAAGAATCATGTCATCTGTTTGAAGGAATAAAGGATATATAATGAGAATATATATAAGCTTAAAAAGTCAGTGAATACCAAACTTCCATGGAGTTAGCGCAATGCATATTTCTTGATATGGAAAATAAGTACTGAGGCGTCCAAGATAAAGTCATTAGACTTTTTGTATCAACTTGTATTTCGGAATTTTAGGCAGAATGGACATTTTATAACGACTACTAGTTTGACGGAGTGGCAGAAGAGAAGTTAAGAGTTTCAGAAAACGACAGGTGTAAATATTAACTTACAAGTTATCACCAGTTATATAGGCAGAAATGCAAATAGAACGCGTCCAAGTTTGTGATGGTATTTTCCAGTCAACTTTATTTTCCAAATACAGTCTCATTTCTAGATGACCTGTGATAAGATCAAAAAACAGTCTACAGCACAATGGATAAAACAGCCAATTTTGATCATACTGATTTTTTCACCCAGTCTGACTTATCAGGAAATATATTCCAAACAACCAACAAACCACAACTCAAATCTGTGAATCATCATTTACGCCTAAGATTTCTTTCTTATTTATTTACTGATTCAGGTCAAATTTCTGCTTCAATTAGTTCTCACCCAAAATATTATTCACCTGAACTTACTTTTTATTTTAACATTTTTATGGACTAAGGAGTATTTCTAACTGTGTTAAACATTTTAACCAAATGAGTAACCAGAAAAACTGATTTGAAGAATTTAAAAGCCAGATCAGAGTTATCTAGGCATCAAACAGCCGTTTTGCTTGTTTAGGACCAAATACATCGGTGGTGTATCAAGACAAATTCAGTTCACAGAGTCAAATCGTTCAGATCATATAAACAGATCAGATGTAGTGGTTTCTAGATACTAAAGCTGCACAATAGTTTATTTCTTCAGTTCATAACACTTTTTCATCAGAAATCAAATCTTGTGATCTTGATTGAATTGTTTACGATGGAAAGCCTGTCGAAGTTATTGTTAGGCAGTTGAAAATTTGCGCAGTATTAAGAAATGTCGTTGTGGATAATACAGTTTGTAAATCATTTGGAAATTGGTCATCCTTCTTAAAAATTCCCTCCCCTACAGAAGATACGTTCGTATTTAGAAATCTCTGATAGAAACGTATACCATTTTAACTGAAAACAGCAGTTTATCATTTTCTCTGTCCTTATAAATGTACAGCAAACTGGGAACTAAGAGCTAATTCGCGATAACCCTTTTTCATCGGCCTACAACTGTTTAAATTCATAGCGCTAACTGCTTGTTTGCCGAAGGTTTTCACTAAATTTTATTGAAAAGAATCATATCGTTCGAAATTTGAATTGGCAAGTCGAAGTTTCACCAACACATTAACTCTGATGGATTAATTGTTTGTATAAGAAACACTTCGAACGAAAAAGGTTATTTACCTAATTCATAATACATTTCAAATGCTTTTCATTAGAACAGAGGATCAAACAGGTTACTTTTGTTCTTCCCACTAAAAATTTACTATTTGTTTCTTTTAGGGGATAGCTTATTGTTTAATGATCCTCAAAATGCGAACGAAAATAGTCGCTACATCTTTTTTTCTTCCTTCAAAGAAAGAGAAAAGGTTAGAACTACATAAACTACTTCCAAGTTGTGGAGTTACATTATATGAATATGGACAATTAATTGTGTCCGAAACATTATCCAGCAAACGATACTGTTTCACTGTGTAATATTCCTAATAAACAGACTAAAACGGAATTACAATCAACCACAATGTCCAAGTAATACCCCTATATTAATAGACAGGTATGTGAATGAAAAATCTGACAATACTGGATTTTTCAGTCTCACTGTACTTTGCAGTAGCCCATCGCAGTAGAAATTAACATGAGCAAAACCTAGCATAGAGTAGATGGTGGCTGAAACACTAGCAACAAGTATTTTATAATAAATAACTGGTCATTGGGAAAAACAGTTGATAAATCTGCGTCTATGTGACCAGCTGTTTGAAATGTAGTTTAGTTTCTAACAACTTCATTCGTTTCACTGAAGCAAATAATTTAGAGAGCTAGCACTTTACTACCCAACTGAATTCCTAATATTTTATTGAAATATCTAAGTCTCAGTTATTCTAATTTTAGCATAGATTATGTCGAATATTCTCTTTAAAGTCATCTGACATGATAAACTTTCATATGGATTTTAATAAAAACTAATGATATCAAAAGGTTTGTCTGTCGGTTGCTGAACGCTTTACCTCAAGTCTCTACATTGGTCATAAAGTAAATTCTTTGTCAATTAATGACACGATGTAAGTTATGCTATTCCAGCCCTGCATTTTCATCAAGCTGTTCAATTGTTATGGTCACATTTTGGAGCACACAGAAGAAAATAGCATCACTCTCAGTAGAATGACCAATCCTTCGTAAAAGTTCGAGTATTTTTTTGATATTTCGGTTGACCTACATTCCACCATTTAACCATCTGCAATATTCATGTACTTCGTGGAAAAGTGTAGTACTTTTCGATTATTCCGTACATACTTTCATCCTAGTTTACTAGACTACGTTACCATTCAGTGGAAAGGAATTTTTATGGTTGATGTGTAAGTTTGTACGGTTAAGTTAATTAAGAAGTGACAGACCTATCATATCATGGTAAATATTGAATATCAGTTAACCTTCATCAATTCACAGTGACTGATGACGTTCATGGATTAATTGCGTATTTCGATTTTCTAAACAGTTATGGGTGTCTGTGTGAATGTATCCCATCAAGCCAATAACTGCTTTGTAGCGCAATAACTGCCTTAACCAGGCTGAGACAAATAAAGTTTACAAAGGCTTGTAGCTCCTTGAAAACATGTAAAACCACTTCTTCACAAGAAAGTTTTCTTCCTGTGAGTTAAAATTCCCCTGCTTTTTGATAATGTAAGCGAAGTCAACAGTTAAATGTTTCAAACGAAAATGAACATGCTGTTAAAACCAATCCACATTCACATGTTTTTGATAAATAACATATGATCAACCATCTTGTTTTTACTATGAAGTATACAACTTCGTCAGCGGTAACGCCATCCCTTCTTTCAAACAGGGGTCTATATAAATCAGTTTTATAATTATTGTACGCACAGATTTAACATAAGCATCTACTAGCGTAAATAAAAAGTGTGAAGTGAAGCAAAAATACAGAATTATAAACAACAGTAAATTATTATATCTTGACGTGTCAATATAAGGTAGCAATGTGCTTATGTACCTTTAAGAAACAAAATTTCACTTTCCATACAAGGGTTGTTTGGTGGAAGATGGCGTAAAACGTTTTCGATTGAGCATAGAACACCATGAGCAGCTTCATAGATCTCTACAGAAGTGGACTGCAATACTTTCAGCAATCTGAAACATACGAAGGAGATAAATGTGATCATCAGGAAAGTAAACAATGTATTTAGTCATAATCACGACAATAATCGTTTATTGGTAGTCTGCATAGTTATACTATACTTCCTATCTACATCTTTATCGACTTCATTTTTTAACTGTGCATTACTATGATAAACCGTCAAATTTTCGCATAGAAATAAATACAGTACTGTTGCATCAAATAAATGTCGTAAAGGTGCTACCTTTGCTTGAGAAATCCGATGTCAAACCGTCTATGAAAATATATTTCGGCTACCACATTATTATACTGAGTCTTAAGCTATTTCTTATTAAACCGGAAAATAATACGTCATAATTCATGTACAGGTAATATGAGAAAAGACTGGAGCATTCAAATAAAATAGAGACGATGACATAATTGTAAAACTTGAACTACCGTCCAATGGTCTTTGGTTACATGCTTCGAGACGAGACATCTTATTGCAAAATGATTGAAGAAACCAAGGATCACTTCATACTGGCTGTGAAACGCAAAAAGTGTAGTTTTTATCTCTTTTGAGATGGTAGGCATATAATGTTAAAAAGCCACAAACTAGGGGGAAACAGATGTCCGGTAATTTTAAATTTTCAGTCATTCTTCAGCTAATGTCGATCTGTGATGAATCCACCATTAATTAAGTAAATTTCCCAATATATATTAGTCTGGAAAAATTTACATGAAAAATCACAGCAGCTATCATTTTTTTCCCTTACTTGTATGACGTTCACTGGCAATGTTCATAATAAGGGTAACTACTACTGGTTACAAAATAAACAGATACATTTAATTGGTCAAAGTTCAGAACTGTTTTAAAGTGGTGACCAAAAATGTTAGTGGAGTCGTCAAATAAGGAAAAAAGTTTATTCACCATAGACTCCACTCCAAACCCTGCTTTACTAACGATAATAAAAACTCATTTGTTTAAGCGTCAAAGTGAAAAGCTAACGAAAGCTAATCATTTCTTTTAAATATCATGTTCACAGTAGCTATTTACTAATATTTCACAAATATATAAAACTTACAGACCATTTTTTACCGTTCGTTTTTTTTGCAAGTATAATTAATTAGCCTAAATTTTTCAGTGAATGAAATATTATGTCAAAGAATGCTTTTTAAAATATTGTACATGCAAATGTCCTCAGAGTGACCTGTTTGACACCTATACATACATATTGGCCTATAATTTTAGCTAGTTTTTTTGGATAAAACAGAAGCAAAAAACTAGAAATGGCTAACCTGCTTCAAATATGCAGATGACAATGATATGAAATTCAAGCAGATAGAAAAAGAATCCAAAAGACGAAACTCAACCTTATCCTGAGTGTAATACCTTGAAAACTACTGCATATTATTGAAAGTATGTAGACATTTCCTTTCATCAGGTCGAACACAACATACTGGACCTTAGCCGATTCTCTGACACTACTCAGCTGATACCTGTTTATAAATAGTTGTTAGTTAAGGAAGTGTGAAGAAAATCTCTATTAGACTTTTGTGGGTATACTGAATGTTACTTTTCTCCAGATGGAATGATATTTTATATAGTAACCATGATCACTAAATTTGAAAATGTAAAACATTTCTCATATTTTACAGAACTGATAATCATTAAACACTATATTAGTGACTAAGGAAATGGGTTGTAACATGATAATTGAGAAACTTGAAGGTTGAAGATCTAGTTACTGAGTTTATAACTGCTTATCAGTGCTATCTAAAGTACTTTATTGATATGCTTGTTTTAGGAAATACCAGTAGGTAAGATTAGAAATTGATCACACAGGTTTGAGTGCATTCATACTTTATCCCTTGAATCTTATGTACACTGATGAAAAACAATTCAGCAAAAAAAATTTCCTTTTCGATGAATCATTTTCAAAAACTGTACAATCGTAATCAAAGTCAAAACAAAATGTCTGCTCATCAATACAAGGTCATGAAAAAGTGTTGATAAAGTCACAAGGTGATTATGGCCAGAAGGTTAACGTACTCATCGAAAAATTGTTCATAGGATTACAATCAACAAACAAATAATATCTTATAAAGATCATGAACAAGGTAAGATAAGACTAAAGATATCTCTTCTGAACACATAGATCAGACTTGAGTTGATGGATCGCAAAGGTTTTACTGTGTTCAAGTAGGCGAATGCGCAATGCCTTTGATATGTTTTATTCATAAATATATACATTTTTCTTTTTTCTTTTTCCTTTCTTTTATGAATAAAAGTACTGACTGAAACTACCTAATTTCGCCTTTTTTTTCAAGTGCGTTTTCAGTTAAAAGTCATTCATGCTTTAAATTGTCGTCATAATCAAAATGTTGATCTACCCAGTTGATAAACACATACAAAATTAAGGTTAAAGATGCATAACCGATGATATTACCTCATTTCTTATTCACTTAGTGGGATAGTAATTCCAGTGTTATATGTTTTTTTGAAATTACCAAATCAAAATGGAAACTGTTTAGTTACAGGTCACCTAACATAAACAAATTGCCTTTTCACCAATTAAAAAATCAGTCACTCAGTAAACTAACCTTAAATTGTCAGGGTTCCCAGTTTCAGTAAGATTAAGTTGCTGAACTTTAGGATCTAAATACTTGGCATCACCAAATGAAATCAGAATAAGTGCAATTCTCAGTCCAACCTGAACTAAAATTTTCCACTTTTTGTGAAGAGGCAACCTAACATCATGTGTACTATACTGAAACATGGTGACTTTGGAGATGCATTTCCCACAGTTGTTTAACTGTAAATGAATAAATCATACTCATGCATAAGCAAATATGCTAAACAAACCAAAAAAACCAACAAACTTGTATGTTCATGTTGTTTTCACCGACACAGATGACATATAAGTGTTGTCTAATAATAGTGCTTACTGCATATGTAAATAAAATAATATAGGCAGTTGAATATGTAGAATGTGTAGGTTGTTAGATACTCTAAACTACTTGATTAGAAATATAAAGGATAAGGTAAGTCTTCATATCACTAACTTTTGATAACTCTGTAGGATTTGTCTTTCAAGCTTACTCATTCCATGACAAAATTAAAGTGGGATGAAATGCAACTAGCTATACAGTCTACTGGTCAAAATGTCTCACTGTCAGAACCGACTGCGAAAACAATAATATGCTTACTAGCTGGGGTCTTTACACCAGTTGAAAAACATATGTCCAAACGTATAACGTGTTCCTGAATGAAATCTACAGTATTCGAGCTTTTTCAAATGTTTTTTTCAACGATATATTTCTCATCTAACTGTCTTTGCTTATATACAACCACGGATAGACAAATAAACTCAAAGTCTCCAAGAAAAGTGAAGTGGCTAAAATTACCATATTTTGAAGAAAGAAAAGTATAAAATCTAATATAGCAAAGATATGAGGATAATTCTTGAAATCGATTTAATCCTTAGGTAAACTTAAGAATGCTGTTGTCATTTAATCTAGAATACATTACCATTTGATTTATGTATGTCAATAATAATACCCTAAGTATGAACAGGCATTCATAAAATTTCAAAACTGTTACAGCTAAGGATTAGTGGAAGGCAATTAACAGGTGTAAAGCTTGTCGTCATATTCTAACCTCTAACAACTAAAACATCAATGCATTTTCTTATTGATCGGCCTCATATCTCAGTAAACGCCCAGACTTATGAACACTATTCGTAATTGTTTTCTCCAAGATATCTTTGATATTTGTTTGGTATGAGAAGCCAAATTCTGAATTCTTCAGTTAGTGGAACGGCGTTGTATTTGATTAAAGTTATATGGCATAACATCACTTATATGCTAATGCTACACACTAGGCATTAAAATATTACTTAGGCGTAAAAGAAAGCATTCGAAAGCAGTCAATATCAGTAGGCTGGAAGTGAGTACATTTAACCAGTCCACTTCACAAGAGAGTATTGGTCACGTACTGCAATTTATGATAACACCTATGGAGAAAAATGTAAAATTAGTTCACAGTTATGAATAGGTGTCCAAAGAAACAGTATCTCCAAACTAGTGTCCGCCACTATGGGTGTTAAGGTGCAACAACAGAAAATAATCTAAAGAAGAACTCAGCCTTTCATTCCATCATAAATCATCACTCAGTTTTGACGACATCGGTCTGAAAAACCATGAAACAGCTGTAGCTCACAAGCTATCAAGATGTATTCACTTTTTTTATGTGGGCGAAAAGAAGAAAAACTACAAAGTAGACTCCAGAAACTGAGAAAATCATCGTATTAAACAGAGTGATGGCCTTTTGCATATCCGTCTACATGAACATCAAATAAAAGTGGCGTCATGATATCTTCTCTCATATCAGTTCATATAAACAACCGTGAACATGCATTTGGCTGATAAAACATTGAAATACTGGATATACGAAATACAAGGAATGCCAAAGGATTTTTAGAAGCTTAAAATTCAGATTTGTCAGCAATTAACAAATATATTGATTGACTTTGACTCGATCTGTCAACCAATAAGAAGCAAAAAGTACGTCAAAGTACGTGTCAGTGGGACAACCAGTTGAAATACACACGAAGACAGTAACGGGATTTTAAGAGAACTAACCAGTGACACACAAAGTGATCAAAACTAGATACTTGGCAGCTTGTGGGAAAAATTCCTTAGATCACCTCTTTATAAATTCAGTCCTAATAGTGCTGTCTAGGGTGACAATTAAGCCGCCAAGCAATCAGACTCAAAGAACAGAACACCAGCAAAAGTCCATGGCCACCTCATTTAGTCTTAGTATTAAAGCTTAAGTATGTTTGAAGGACATGCAGTTAGATTGTCATAACAAAACAACAAATATGAGAATAATCAAAGTTAACTGAACTTACTTCCTTTATCAATAGATCTTCAAGACAAAAAAGAATATACAGTCTCTCTTTCAATTCAGTGAAACGAGTATTGTCTTTCAGTGATATGTCAAAATGAAAATTTCTGTGTAAGCTTAGATCGCCTTGACGAAGAATTCCATAAATACAAATATCGTCCATATTGTGTGATAAACTGAAATCACCCAACTTGCAAAATAAAAAGACAGTTTATTTGGAAAATTCATGAAGTGAAACTTTGAAAGGAAGATAAAGTGAATTTTAGCAATTCTGTTTTAAAAATAATAAATAATAAATAAAGTTACCTATTTTTAAATCTTTTGTGAATCCATAATATATCACAGTAGGCAAGCCATTAGTGATAAACAATTTCAATTGTTCGTTTTCAATGACTAGTGGATTTCAAAGTGGTTTTAACGGTGAACGCATAGAAACTGGCTAACTATTAGAAAACCTGTGAACACTGAATAGATGTTTTGTTTTAGGATGCGGCTTCTAAACAGTGAACATCAACGAAATAAGAGTGGATTGAGCCCAGAAATATTTATCTTGTGACAAATACATTACCGTCAATACAACAGAGTTGATTCAGTGATCTGCTTCGACCTACTTATGTCAGTTTGAATTGAAGTACGACCATCAGCATTGAAGTTCTGTAGTAAAAATACCAAGTTACCAAAGTACATAGTTAACTGTTGTAATTTTAAACTAGAAGATTATAAGTGGTCAGACTAAAGTGTAGCGCCAGTTTGTGATGTATCTGATTGTTGGTCTCAGTCACCTGAGAAAATGTAGACGTTATGGTCGACAGCCTGTGCCAAGACACAAAAAAAATACTGAGAATTCTAAAGTATTCCAACATCTTTTTGGAAGAAAAATGATTACTTTTTTAATTATCACTGAAAAACAGAAGTCAGACACTGTAGTCGACATTTCCCATAACTGACCTTATTTCCTAGATCCCCAGAAATATTTATCGTACAATAATTGTAATATGCTGCTTCCTTATTTGCTTTACCCTTTCACCTTCTATTTTTGTGAAGTTTTGTAGTTTTTGATTACACGTCTTACCCATCTATAATTCTATTTTAATATCATGATTTAATGTCCTTATGTGAGGTGTTGAAACTTAGATTATTACACAGTATTGCTAGGTCCCAAATTGTTAATGATTTGGTCTGCTGACAGATATATATGAGTAGTTTTATCATGAAAACATTAGTAAGCAGACAATATAATTTTCAGGCGTACCCACTGAAATCTTAACCTCCTTACTTCGCCTTTTTAGTGAAAAGGCAATTTGACATATGAGGCGAAACCAGCAGTTAGAGAAGCATAAAACTGGTTTTTCATACAAACCATCAAAGCTGATAAATTAATTCCATTATGTAGTGAATGAACGCGCATTATCACAGTGAGTTGTGCTAAGTTTGTCACCTCCAAACATAGGTTCTGTTACATGGCATGAAAGTTGAGAAAGAAATGTTGTTATCTTCTCGCTAGACAACGGAAAGCTGATGCCTAAATAAACGGTTACATATTAAGTAAAAATCATTTCATTCCAATGTTTCTTTCATAAACTCATTCTGATGGACATTTCAAACAAACTGATATTAAAACTGCCATGATAAATTAACGAAAAATGGATTGGTAATTCTTTAAAATATTAGAAACCAGTAATTAATTATGATTGAAGATAGTAAAAACTACACACCGTTATATTTTGGAGGAGGGATCAGGTTGTTACCTAATTAATCAGATGCACAGTCTTGATAAATAAGAAGTGTGATTGATTTTGTCAAGGTGAAGACCATCGATACTAATTACACAAGAATAACAGACGGCAAAAAAATTCTAAATTAGGTTGAGCATGTGGTAATAATCGATGATGGGGTTGCCTTCTATTCTTCAGACAAACCTACACCCTTTAGTTGCCTTTTGAAGAGGAAAGTCACTGTAAATTTTGACAACACATTGAAAGTCCTATACCTATACACCCAAGGTAGACTGATAGTATACAGCTACCCTTCTCAACTGTTCTGTTCGAATTGTAGGTTTAAGCAGAGTTGCTAGAGTTCATCGTTTCTCTTTAAATTTGTCATTAATTATATTTCACGGCCCGTTTTAAAATAAGCTCATGGCGGTGGTGTAGACATTTTCACCAAGTCAAAAACTTTTTGAACAGGAGTATGTGGATGAGAGTTTTATTTTGTGGAGATATACAGACTAACGAAATCACACTCAGTAAATTATCAATCATTTTCTGAGTGTACAAAATGGAAACTGCACGAATGAACCCCGCAGTTCTTCTATAAGATTGGGAGTGGCATCTACCAGCATTCACACCTAATGGCGAACCATAGAAAGTAATCGGAACATTTGTGCACTTGGATATTCGTGTGAGTGCTGGTGGTGAAACTCATTAGTTTTCCAACAGTATATCAAAATCCAGAGAAGCAAGCACCGATCGACCCCATTATGACATTAACCTTGTTGTGAAAAGATAGACGCAGAACACATTCGTACCGAACGTTCATCACTATGCTGTTCAAAACTAGCCTCTCACAAGTGAGGATGTGTGATGACTCTGCGTTTTGATCATCGTCATCTCAATAATATTATTCATATCCAGTGTATACACCATATAATTCTGAGGTGAGTTGGCGTGTGTTCGTAAGTGATAAGTAATGTCACTCATCGGGCGTGATCATCCTAACACAGCAAATTCATTGGCTTGGGCAGATGTTGCGCATATCCTCCCAACAACTTTTACACTACTCGCTAGTCTCTTGTTATGCAATCGAATAGGTGGAAAATATTTGGCAACGGTGTCGAATGAGGGACTGTTGCACCAGGCTAAAATCTGGAAGTCTCGCATGACTCTCTGGATAGAATTTAAGACATCTTGCAACTTGGTGGCTTCAGGTAATAGTAGATATGACTGAGATTCGAAGCCGGTGGCGATCATACATAAGGTTTCTTGTCTTCGATCCAAGAAAATTCAAAAGAAAATTTTGGATGCTTCTCCAAACACGTCTTTAGGGCAACATTTTTGATAATCTGTTACTCTAATTTCCATTCTCTGTTCTCTTTTCCACATCCCATTTAATTTGTTTTATTGCTTTGTATGCCTTGTATCTTACTGCTAATGTTCTACTGAGTTAGTGTTCTTACAGCAACAGGTATAATAGTAATAGTGCGAAGTCAATTCGTAATCTATAAGTAAGACGCTCAATGTATGAAATTCGGCAAAAATTTAGGCGTTACTCCCTAAGCAAAATACGCATTACACCTTAAGTACTATCTTGACCATGAAGATCTACAAATAGCTTCAAAAGTAGAAATATTTCTCTCACCAACCAACATTTACTTCAGTTGGAAAAGTCATTTTGTGGGTAAGATTCAGAAATGGTGAAAATTTAAAATTCTATGGGAATATAGTAGACTCGAGTGATTGTCATATAAGCCATAATACTTGCGATTAGCGAAGTATATTAAAGCAAGAATACTTCTCACATTCTTACATCTGTTCTTGTTTATTGCTGAAATAATATTGTTGCATTAAATAGATACTCTCCTTGCCAATTGGCATTTTCGGCATCATGCGGATACACGCATGAAAAACGCTTTTTCGGAGAATATATGTAGTTAAGGATATGAATGCTCGGTGAACATTTGAATCTTACTAAAAAAAACTTCGATTTCTGTGAATAAGAGAACTTTGCCGTTTTTTCTAAGTAAATTATTTCATACAAGTGCATTTGGCTTATTCACGCTGCATTCCTAGTTTTTTCTATTTTATTCTCACTTCATTAGTAATATCTGGTCACAGTAATGTGCGGAGTGATTTTCTCTAACAGTTACTCTTAGTTAAGAATACCTAGTTTAATATTTTCAATTTGTGACGAATTTCATATTAATTAGCAGTAAAGACTACCCTTATTCTTTATATTATTCTACATCAAACAATACTTCAAACTGTAGTAAGTATATTTTAAAGTTGAAACTTCGTTTTACTTTGAAGCTTCATCAGGTTGATTTTCATGCAGTGTGTTTTAATTGTAGCTAGTAATAACTATTATCTACTTACTACAAGGGTACTTTATAACTCAGCTCAGTTGCAGATAATCAATATTCCTGTGAAAGTCAGTTATGTTACTTGTAAAGGCCCTAAGACATAACTACCTCCCAGTTTTTATAATGTCTTCTAAAACATATATGTATAAATATTCTACATAAAAATAAGAAACTTAAAACATAACCATTGCTGTAAAAGTCCATAGCATATGCCGATAGTAGGATAAATGAAGAAGAAAACGAAACTAGTACGTCTCTGTAGTCAGCAGACTACCAAGGGAAGTTTCTTTGTTGTGTAAGCATTCGGAAAGATCTGAACTTAAGTATGAAGTCAATGTTTTTAAATCCTATTCGTACTTTTTCATTATGATGCTTTTAGACAGTAAAATAGCAACCAGATTTAGTATGCTAGACTTCCATGTAAAACGTCGGAGTTATTCATTTCAAACAAGTTGTGACTAACACAAATATTAATTATATATAATGTCAAAAGGATATACAGTTGGAGGATAACTTCAAAACGACAGCTTTTAATACACTGTGTAGAAGGTCCTACAAACTATTTATGCCCTACCATATCGATCGTTGATTTCAGTAAAACACCTTGTTTATCTGAAATACATTTCGTCTAACAGTAAACAATTATTTATTAGAGTAAGAAAAGATTTTCAAACAGCTGGATAAGCTTTTCTTTCTGAAACAATAAGTTTCTGTACAAAGTTATTGAATATACCCTAAATAACACAGATGTCATCCATTTCACAAGCAAAAATAATAAATTTGTTTAGATAATCTCAAGTAAATATTGATATACCTGTTTTACTGTAAACAATGATTTAGTCTTGTATGCCTGAAAACAAAAATGAATGAAATCGCTGAAGGATATATTTTGTAAATCGGATGACTAACTTGTATCCTGTCAATGTTTCTTAAGGAGTTCTATTTTCTATTTCATTTAAGTAACCAAGAAAGTAAAGAATTTCTCAAGTCATTACATACTTCATTTGACAAGTAAACTAAAATCTCTTTCTTTTACTGCTATTTCTTCTTTTTAAGAAAATAATTCGTCGAAAATTCACATCCTTATATTCTGCAGGTATTCCACTTATTGTTTTGAAAAAATAAACCTAAACCTAGTCCTTGTTTATCTTATAATTATTATCATTTTTTATTTGTCCCTTGGGTTCCTAGGGGAACATACGGCTTCAGTAGCACGTCGCTGTTTCACTATCTTCGCTGTAGTCTTTTCAACCTGGTTCCAAGACTTCCCATAAGCTTCCATTTCTCCCTCACGTGATCTCCCTCATGTCACTCTGGCACGCCTAACTCGTCTCTTTCCCTTTTAAGTTCCACTTGAGGGCTGGCGCATGGTGTCCCCAAATGGCCTTATCAGTGTATGTCCAGTCAAATCCATCTACCTGCACTTCCTTCTTCATATTTGTTGGTTCATTGACAGCCAGCAGGAGTTCCTTGTTGCTCATTCTTTCTGGTCATCTTATCTTCATTATCGAGTCAGCATAGGCGGCAGCTGTTAATGAATGTCAGCAGTTTATTGGAAACGCTTTTTACAACTCGCTAAGTTTCTGAAACACATAAAAGCACTGACTTGACTCGATTGGTGTTGAAAATCCGAACCTTGTTCACGCTTTATGCTGAGTGCAGTAAAGTAAATCTCCACTCTGGTTTCAGACTGATGAAGGTCTGTCTTGCTGTCTTTCGGATCCTGACTTTGACATCCTCATCTATGGCGCCACTTTTAGTTGAAAAGATGTTGCCTGCCTAGGCAGGTGAAAGGGACTACTTCCTCCAGAATTCTCCTGTTAACAGTGACCGGTGCTTTTCTTTGTTGTTGCTTAGGTATCTTCATTACATCTGTCTTCTCTACGTCCCGTCTTCGCTGGCTCTCCTGCCAACTTGTTAGTTTTCGCCTGTAGATCTTCGAGTTAGTGAGTTTAAAAAGTGCATAAGGCATTTGTATGTCTAGTTAAGCATCCAATGTATAATTTAATTTGTTGATATCTACTGAATCTAGTAAACAAGTAATTCACCACAATAATATATAAAAGGATTTAAATTTTTTGTCTATAGGTAGACAGTTAAAATTTTTCATAGCGATCAATTACCATTATATTTGTGATTTCTTTATTAATTGTTTTTCGTCGTATAGATATTAGCTGACTTTTTAAAAGGATGAATTCGTTCCATTGACGCCAATACTTTTCTTGTTCCACTTCTTCAAGTGCACTCTTTAGATTATCATTCTCATCCGGTATTTGAATGTTTTCGGTTTTAGGAAGCTCTGAAAATAGTTAATCATATTTGACTAAATCAGTTCATTTATTTATTGCAGTTAAAAACTATTTCCTAATGCAGCAACTTACTACGCTGGATTCTATTGTTAAAGTATGAGAGCTTGCTTACTAAAAAATCTTAGCCAGATTAAAAGATAATAAATTATATTCTGAAATGAACTTAGAATATTTAAGTAAGAAGTACAACAAATAGTCTGGTCGTATGAAATGCGTTTCTCTAACGAATATTTATGTCTTTTAACATAAGATGAGAGTAAATTTGTAAAAGCCCTAAACATATCGTAAGTACTCAATGATACAACTTCACTTTTCTTCAAGCATTAGTTAATGTCATCATTTTATCACAACATCAGGTTCTGAGAAGCACCTGTTCTCTTGCAGTCTAGAGCTTAATGTTTCTTAACAAAATACAAATTTACTGATTCGTAGTTTACCAGTTAATTAGGTGAATAATATCACAAAACGAATTAATGCAGTATAAATATATAGTTGAAAATATTGTAATATGCTATTGTTTCATAATAAAGGATAATTTGTAAATTCGGTTATCAACTTAAAGTAAACTGAAGAACTGTTTCATAATTTAGATATTTTTCGACAATCCTGTGTTTCTAATATCAGAACACAAATAATGTCATTACATAAACTGTTTCCGGTATTCAAATGTTTCTTTTTGATATTTTAAATGTTATGAAGTTTCTTTTGACCTTGAAATGTTTTATCACAAACATTTTAAGTAATCGTGTAGGCGTTTACAATTAAGTAATTTAAAAAGACAATCTGCTTTAAAATTCAAAATTGCTTTTCATACATCTACAGATAAATACTTTTCTGATAACATATACCAATTTAATACTTTTTCAGTTAGTATTTTGAATATAACATATCAGTAATACCACTCCTTTGATGTCATTTTGTCTTTGCACAAACGACTAAGTCTTTAAGAGATGGGAAAAATTTAAGTTAGACTGAGAGTACTTTGTGGTAGATACTTCAAGTACGCATGTTATACTTGCAGTCAGATAGAAGAGGCTTTATCTTAATCAGGTGGAAATGTAACATAAACCTACAAAATCACTGTTTCTAGGCTATTTCACTATCTTCACTGATTGAACTTTTCATACCGTTTTTATGTATTTCATTGAAATTAATTATTATTTTTAGTGCATACAAGAATATATTTATCATAGCGTACTTCTATCACCTGTATTATCTGGTTCTCTGTCAATTTTCAAATCAAACCGTTTATTGTTTTTTATTCTTAATTTCCTCATCTTGTTCTTGATAACATGCGATTTAAGACAATAGCACCTGTATTGTAACGTTTGCTTAACTATTTCTTTTGAATTTTGAAGGGGTTTATGAGGATTTAGCAATATTTTGAGTTGATATTCATCATAAACTGACATCAGTTGAAGGAACAATGGAAACCTGGGAGCACTGGAAAGGTGTTTCGCCCTAGTATGGGACTCATTAGCAGTGCGCACCCACGATCAATGCCGAACCTATGAGTTTAAGGTTTCGTGGCCAGTACGTTAACATTGAGCCACTGGGTCGAAATACAATGGTTCATATTTCCAACTTGTGTCAGTTTACGACATCCAGTCTCGTCGTTGAGCATTTTTGTCCTTACGTCTGTTAGGTTTGCCCCACTGGTCACGACTTCTCACTGGAACTTCGAGAATCACCTCTCGAAGCTAGTCACAAATGACACTGGTTCAATTGAATTTTGAGGGGTTTGTGGGGATTTAGAGATATTACAAGTTGCTATTAACTGTTTTTTACTTACGGAAAAAGTTTTCGGAGAACATAATACTGCAATCAATTTTTATTATCACACCGAGTTATGTTAAGCAAGTCGCTGCTTTTACTTAAACACATATGAAATCACTTAGCGTTACACATACCAGTTATTGACTTGGTGCAGATACTAGTCCACCAGATACCGAAATATTATGCCACACTCTTCTCAGCAATAAATAGGGATAGAACTTAGAATATTATCTCCACCACTTCATATGGTAAATAAAACTAGCAACAATGGATTACTGGTTAATCGTTTGTTTTTTCTATGGCTTCTGCTCAGAACTGATCATATGGACAATAAAAACGACGAGGCCAAATGGATGTATTCAATCAGCAATGTTTAATTTTTTGTGACAACTAAAACTGATTTTTCTATGGGGCATAACACTGTACTTTTAATATTATCTTATTGTTAAGTCGCATCAAACGCTTATCAGCATATAAATTAATTTGGAAATAAAAAAATTGAAAGAAACCTGTTAGTTTTCATTTGATTCCAGCTTAATTAGGGCTTATTAACCGCTGTAGAAATGAGAAGAAACTTTAATATCTCCTAAATGCATTCACTTGGATACCTTGGTCTGTTAGTTCTGAGATGGACCTAAATGTAGCGCATGCACAGGTTAAACAAAATAGGCCTGAAATTATCAATTTACTTCATTTATTGTGTATCACCCACGGATCACTTATGGCTGTCCATCACAGTTTTATCTTTTAAGTTATTTATATTTTCTGGCGATAAGTAAGAAAAGACATTGTTAGTCAGTCGTACCTTTAGTTGACATTTATCTTGGGTTTCTGAAACTACTTTGTTGCCAGTCAGGTTTCTACAGTTTCTTAAACCGTTTCAGTAAAGCTGTTTTAGGGCGGATAATTCGAAAAATATTTTTTCCATATTCTTATTTTAATTTTTGTTCCCAGCAATTCATTTATATTTAATATGCGCATAACAGATTCAACTTCTTACCCTTCAGCAATCTTTCTGCATCTACTTCACAGATTTGACATCGCGCCAATTCAGCACGGCAACGGAACCAAAGTTTGTTGACTTCTTCTTCACTTGGCATCTTCCGAAACAGATTTGTTGTATAATACAGGTTTTTACATGCTGCAGTGTTTTCTGTTGTAAATAGATGAAATATCATAGTTACAGTCACTTTCATGTACACACTTTTTAAGCCCTAGTTCAGTTTACCATTATTTTTCTGCTGGAAAGTTATAAAAAGGTTAGTTAACTTATTCACTATCTTACTAGGCTCAAGTAATTATTCGAAGCGCATTTACGCTTACCACCCAAACTTGCTGGCAAAGATAGAGGAGAAATACAACTTTTCATAAACTCAATACACTCGATTGTTTTTGATAAATTTTTTAGAATTTTGAATTCTAGGTGATCAAGCCGTTCAAAATGATTAACCATATGACACCTGGAAACAACTGAGCCATTAAGTAATTCAAAACTACAAACCTTTATAGCACACGAGACGAAAAACTTTTATCATCACCATTGTGAAGAGTTTATTAAAGTAGATTATTCCTTACAACCTAATTATACTTTATTTTCAAATCGTTTTTTCATATTTTGTTTTGAAATCCCTATACGTTTAAAGTAACTTTCCATTCTTTAAGACTCCCAACAAACAACTATTCAGCAATGTTATTAACTACTTGCTACACTTAAAGAAATTAAAGTAAATGAGTTGCAAAAAACAATGACGCCGGTTGGTGAAAGTCTTCAGGAAGCCAGTCGGTCGATATATCTCTCCTTGATGAAAGTGAAAGCAAGAATGAGAATATGGAATGTGCGTTCCATGTATGAACTGAGCAAGGCTGCCCAGATTGCAAAAGAGATGAAGAGGTATGGCATAGAAGCGCAAGGAAACTGCAAAAGCAGATCAAATGGAAGTGAACTCTCCAAAATGTCAACTAGAGAGTTAATAATCGACTGCGATATTGTCACCCACACGACATGACAACCACGAGCACACAAAGGGAGTGACTATCATGATATCTCCAAGATCATAGAAGGCTCTCTGTCATGCAGTGGAAACCAATCTCCTCCAGTATCATGACAGCAAGGTTCAACTCAAAAGGAAGGAGAGTCACAATCGTACAAATAATGCAGATGAAGAGAAGATGGGAAAATTCTACAGGCAGGTGCAATCAGCAGTGGACAAGACCTCAGTCTGCGACATCAAAATTTTAGTGGATGACATGAATGCCAAACAGTGAGCGAACAATGCAGGAGGAGAACTAACCAATGGTCAGAAAGAACTCGGTGAAATGAACGAGAATGCAGAACTGTTTGCAGATTTTTGCGCACTCAACGATTTATGGATGGCAGTGTTTACAAAGACATGGATATTACCGAGCGAGCGACATGGATTTCGCCAGATGGACACTCTAAAATCAGATCAACTTCATTTCAATGTGAAGAATGTGGAGACGCGGCCTAACGGACAGAATATCAGATCAGGAAGCGGAGCAGATGTAGGTTCACACCACTCACTATCTAGTGCAAGGAACCTTACTTCCGAATCAAGTTGAGAGTCTTCACAGAAGTTGGTGATAGACCACAGTTCAAGACTTAGAACAGAAAGTGAACTGAAGGACAAAACTACGCAAGAAATCTTCACTTCAGTTATCAAGACTAAATGGGACATTTCGAGGAATATTTCTGAAGAAACCTGTGTGGATGAAAGCTTGAACTCTTTGAAAGAGATGTGGAAAGAAACCTGCATAACCGTGTTAGGAATGAAGAAGAAAGGCCAAGACAAGGAATGGATGTCAACGGACACATGGGAGCTGATAGAGGAGGGAGAGGAGGATAGTGAAGCAGAAGATAAACCGGTGCAAGGATGCACAACGACAAGAGGAACTAAGTACAATGTATAAGGCACTGGACAAAGAAGTGAAGAAGAGTGCACGCAAAGACAAAAGGCAAGTCAAGCAGAACAGGCTGCAGACAGGGGAGACAGAGACCTGACAACATTGTATCAAATAACCAGGTTACTATCTGGTAGGGAAGAGATCAACACAGATGAAACCAATGAAAGATGATAAAGGAAATCTGTTTACCACAGATGAGAAACAAAAAGCAATATGCTGACCACTTTGAAAAGCTCTTGAATCGATCACCACCACTTGCACTTCGTCCATACACACTAGCAGCAACCCAGCCACAGAACCACCAGTGAACACATGCCCTCCAAAGAAAGTCGAAGTGCCGAACGCCATAAAGCTACTGAAATGTGGGGAAGCAGGGAACCAGATGGAATCCCTCTAGATGAACTAAGGACAGACGCAGGAACAACAGAGGACCTGCTCACACCACTATTGCAGAAGATCTGTAAGGAAGGAAAGGTACTTGCCCACTGATTAGAAAAATGGCTTCCTATTCAACTCCTAAAGAAAGAAGAGATACGTCTTTTCAAAAAGTTGTATTCTGTGAGGTAAACTAAACACTATATGGTGATGACAATAATAATAGAGCGGGTGATGACATAGGCATTTATGATTATAATAACAATTGAAACAATTGAAACTGTTCTGGAAAGCACTTAGGAGAAACCATATCCGACCCAATTCTAAAACACTGAAGCGTCATGCACTTAATCGTATTGATGCCATTAGCTCTCGTATTGTTGAGTTAAAACGAAATATATCCACGAGAAATCATGCCCTTTATGAGTTATCTACTGATGAACGCAAACAGTTCGAGGAGTATGTCATTACAGTCGTAGAAAAACAGTCTCAGTCGGCCAATCTTAAACACTCCGATGGTCTGAAGCCAGTTGAAATGGAAAGTAAATTTCCGAATAATCCAGAAAAGTATGTATTTAACCACTCTCACGTTAATCTTTCGACAATTCAAATGCAAGCCCTATCGCTGGGCTCAAAGTTTTGCAGCAGTGCATCCAAGGTTAACAGATTACATACCCAAGTACAATTTGAAAATTTAATCAGCCAGATTGTCGGTCTTACGCCTGCATCGCCGCAAGAATTCCAGCATTTCAAGTCCACTGTTCTAGATTGCTGTCACCAATTTATCAACTCCAAAATCAGTTCTAGCTCTTTATTAACCAAGGACCATATACAACAGCTAAAACTAATCAAAGATAACAGGGATATTATCATAAGCCGTCCTGATAAGGGAGGAGGCATTGTCCTAATGAATCGTCAGGAGTATACTGATAAACTTTCCGTAATCCTCTCTGATCCCACTAAGTTTAGTAAACCCGAAGGTGAGCCCAATAAGACACATATAATTGAAACACAACTCACAAATGTCTTAAAAAGCATGAGGGATAAATCAATAATTGATCCTGATTTATATGAACGTATCCGACCGGTTGGCTCTATAATCCCACGTCTATATGGACTACCGAAGATACATAACGGGATTACCTCTTCGTCCGATCCTCGATATGGCTGGTTCTCCCTATCACCGAACTGCTCAATGGTTAGCTGAAATTCTGGAACCTGTTAGAAGGCAAGTATCGAGTTTTTCTATCCGTGATACATTTCAGTTTGTTGAGGGTATTAAGGATTTTAATGCTCTAAACAAGATGATGTTTTCATTAGACGTCACTTCATTGTTCACGAGTGTGCCACTCACCGAAACTGTCTGTTATGTATGTGACTATATTGATGCACATAATTTAGACGTAGGACTACCAACGAGCTGCTTGAAAGAGCTTTTGTTGAGGTGCACATTTAATGTCCAATTCAGTTTCAATAATGAAATCTATAGACAGAAAGATGGAATTGCGATGGGGTCACCATTGGGACCACTGCTAGCAGATTTCTTCATGTCGAAACTGGAAAATTCACAACTTCGTCAAACTATTGATAGCTTTGACTTTTATAGAAGATATATGGACGACACGTTTGTTATTTGCGACAAAAATGTAGACCTCGACGACGTGCTTCGTTCATTCAATGAATGTCATCAAGCCCTCAAGTTTACTATAGAGAAGGAATCAGAATCAACTATTCCTTTTCTTGATGTGCTTCTCACCCGACGTCAGAATGGATACCTTAAAAGATCCATCTACAGAAAACCAACGTGGAACGGACAACTAACTAATTTTTATAGTTGGGTGCCCATCAACAGAAAAAGAAATCTTATTCACTCTCTTTGCTATCGAATAAGAAGTATCTGTAGTGACGATTGTATCGAGAAGAGCTATCTTTTTAAAAAGCATACTTGTCGAAAACGGTTACCCTAGCCGTTTTATTGATAAAAATATGCGGGAAAGAAACACTAAACCAGTCATCCACTCGGTCTCAAAGAAAAGATTGTTTATGAGCCTAGAGTTTAAAGGAGACCTAGCATCGGATGTACTGAAGAATCGTCTTACCAGATCAATCAATAGGACTTTCTTCGCAGCAAGACTCCAGTTGACTTTTACCAGCCGCAACCTATTCTCCACCTGCGTTAAAGACAAGCTTCCTCGTTTGGCCGCCTCTATGTGCATCTACCAGTTCACCTGCTCTTGTGGAGCAAGGTACATCGGCCGTAGCCAGAGAATGCTTTCTACACGTATACGAGAACATGTTCCTGCTTGGTTTTATAAAGGTGAAAGAAAGTCTGTTAGAAGTTCGATTCTAGAACATTTGATTGACTTCCATCACACAACAAATCCAGACGATGACTTTGAAATTATTTATCGAATTCGCCCAAACCTCCCACGTTCTCTTCGTTTTCAACTCCTTAAAACAGCGGAGGCTTTAGCTATTCATGAACTAAGACCTGATCTGTGTGTACAAAAGAAGTATGTGCAGTCACTGTCTTTATCATGGCCATAACATTTTCCCACCCCATTAGCTCCCCCTCCCACTTTGTTAATTTAACCTTTGTATCCTTCCTTTATCACTATTATTGTTATTATAATCGCCTTCACTTCAACTAGTTTCCGGTGTTGTTTCACTTAATTGTCTTAATCCTTTTAGAAAACATTGACTTCATCTTGTCCAATTTGTCTAATGCCATTACATAATACTTAATTGATTTACCATTTTCAACAATTTTTTCACCCCCTTCTGAGTTATATACTCTCTATGTACCATTCCATATATTACATAATCTATTTGTTATCATTCGCACTTCAATTGTTATTATAATCATAAATGCCTATGTCATCACCCGCTCTATTATTATTGTCATCACCATATAGTGTTTAGTTTTCCTCACAGGATATAATTTTTTCCAAATACCATATATATACGATTGTACAGCTTGAAAATAAATTCGTTGAAAAGCGTCTCTTCGCTGAATATCTTGTTTTTCAAAAGGTAATTTGGCAACTGCTTCAAAACTACTTCTCGGTCGACGCTGTTGACCCACTGTTACTCTTTTCGTATTCACGAAAGTGAATTTGTGTAGCGCAATATCTTTTAGTAGGCAATCTTTAATATTTTTGCCGCTAGCAACCGTTGGACAGGCCTATTTTTATAATCATAACTTCTTACATGAACTAGTAGTGTAACCCAACGGGAGCGTTTTGTCTTATTTCGTACTCTTGAGCAGGACTTACCTGTACCACAGTGAGTGATATTGTTTTCACTGAGACTCAAACCATATTCCCATAGATTTAAATGCCAAAAAGCTTTGCACTAAGCCACTACAGCGTGACAACCACGTCTTGAGGTAGAGTGATCTGCTCCTGTATAGCAGCCGTAAATTACAAGTATCAGCTACATGCTTTTCAGTTTTTAATGTAGCTGCTTATAAAAGAATGCAGTCTCCGAAACATGTCAGTTATCTCATGAAATCAGGCGGAAACAAGATATCCTAAAAGAAGCTTAGATTTATTAGCGCTATCTTAACTGATAGACTGACTAGTCTGAAAGTTTTTGTCTGGACCAATGGTTTCCCTTTATGCCTTTTAAGGGTAGCACACGGTTAAATATAATCTTTTCTAAATGAACGCCTTTAACATCAGTCCATATCTTGTATTAATATACAGTATATGTAGTAAAACTGCAAAAAGTAATAGGCCCTTGTTGTTGACTGCAAAGTAGAGGAGTGTAGAGAATTGAAAGCTCCACAGCTAACTTATAATAAATTCAGAGTATAAGCAAGGATAGATGTTGTAAATATGACGATGGATACCTTTATTTCGAATTGGGTGTACAAGATTTTGTGGTTTGTGAATAAACCTTTTCCAGATACTCTATGGTTTTCGCATAAAGGCACTATTTACACCATTATCCTTTCTGCAGACAGTGATATATATATATATAATGGGTTGGAACGTATGTCGTATTTCGCATGCACAAACACCTAATTAAATCAAGCAAAAACCATCTCGTATATTTATTTACCCTAAGGTTATTTTTCGTGGTTATACAGAATGAACTTCATATTTTAATAGTGGGATTACTGTGACCTGGAATTCCAAAAAAATATTAATAAGATGACCGAGAATGTCTGATTAATTTGCAACGAATTCTGAATAATATGCAGTTTTATAAAGAATGCAATTCTTATAGGTAATTGCAATAAAAGAAAATATATCCCGATATCAATAAAGTATGGAAAGTAAGATTTTTCTTGTTTTTATGTTCCAGTCCTTACTAAACTGCTTTAAAATGAAAAAAATTTACTCCTGAGTAGATGTCTTTTGTTCTATGGTCCAATGTTAAGTTCCTAATTGATTTTATAGACTTGGACTACATAATAAAGATAAGGAAACAATTTTGCATCAAGAAGCATACACAGAACTGAATTCTTATCGTCATGAGTATTTTTCACAGCCAAGAATCTTTTCACTACCTTCTAAAATTCAGAAACCCATCCTATTCATTGGTAATAGTTTATGCCTACGAAGAGGTATATTGGGTCGTGGAACGTTCAACCTGCTTAATATGTTTATTTGATGAAGAAACTGGTTCAGGCTGCCTAAATAAGTCCCAAATCAATTCATTAAATAAAGAAACTCAGTTAACTATAACATGAAGACACTGAATATGTAGTGCAGAAATATAATGAAAACTTTCCAAAAAACAGCACACAAAAATCACTACATATCAGTATTCTACTGTAGTTAAAGTTATTCAGCGATTCAATTTCGAAATATCCTCCATACCCCACTGAATACATTTTTAATTGTATTTGTAGGCATAGGAAGTTTTGTTGAGAAGAATATTTAGGCATTTAGAATTATGTTTATTACTTGTTTAATTAAGATTATAAAGAAATGATATTTATAGTTCATCCTAACATCTCAAAAAGCTCTTGCATGTGTTTTGACAGGTGTACTCACTTCTTTGGTTCTTTCGGATTAAAGTTTAGAATACTGCATATTCAAAATTCCTTACTCCAATTACTGATGTAGAAAAAAGTGTCGCTTTGAGCAGTGAAATCTTCATTGTTCATGTTTGAATTTAACAGTCATCGACTGTCTGCAAAGTATTAAACAAGCATAAGAAGCTTAATGTCTACTACGTAATATGACGTCCTAATTGCATAAGCGTATTACTGTTTCACCACAAATTATTTATGATAATAGTAGTGCTACCAGGTGATCTATGACAGCTTTCATCTCTCATTCCCATAAACAATCAGAATATCTACATAAGTAAATCCTAAGTGAAATATCTTACAATCCAGCTGAATTTAAATGTTTTGCAAGTTATAGAAAAAGAAAAAATGTCACTTTGAAACCACTGACCTCTGAAAACACTCAATACTTCCACAATCGATCACTTACCTAAAGGTTTGAATAACTTTTGAATCCATCTCAAAATAATAGCAATTACCATTGAACCGGAACGTGCCTGATGTTGTGACCTCAACACTTTTGCAAAAAGAATGCTGGCTTCACAGCATACAACTATTAAGGAGTATTCAGTGCATAACAAACCTGAAAACGAAACGTTTCTATAATGTATTATGGTAGTTAATAATCCAATCAGAGTAGTATTTAGAGAAAAAAACATAATTTTACTTTACAGGTGCACTCTACCTCAGTAAATAATAGTCAGTCGGCGCATAAATGTCACTGTGCATGGGAGTTCTTGTAATTTTTCTTTATCCATTAAAAACAGAGGAAGTTGTGGACGTGAATGATTTGCAATAAATTTGGAAATATAAATATTTTCAAAGTCGGTTTTCATAATCACAAGCGAACGTATTAACACCAAAATTATGAATATGCAAGATAAGTTTGAAAGTAGTTTACAGTTACACTGATCAGAATCTTTCCTAATCAATACTAATCCTAAAACCAAATTGTTTTGTTATATATTATTGTAAGATTCTACAATCTTTTGATGAAGCAGTTCGACATAAAGTTGAGATTCAATGAAATAATAAAAATTCTACTGCTAACTGAAATAATAAAAAACAACTATCTTAAACTTTTATCAACTTCATATTTTATGCGTTTTATAAAAAAGAATTTTTATAGAACAAAGGAGAAATCAGTACGGAACTCATTTAAAGTCGTTGGTTTATAAATCGTATTTTAAAAGAATATACGTATTATAATCACACCATTAGGTCACTTCCGATTCAATAAATTTATTAACGATGATAAAAGTAAGGAAAAAATGCAAATAAAACTATCTTGTGTGGTTCAAAATAGAAGTCTTGGACAACTAGTCATCTTTCTGCCTACGAAATGCTTAAGACGATACAGTGAATGTATGCACAAATAACTTTAAGTAACCTAGCAAGTATCTATTAGTTTATTAAGTAAGAGAGTGTGCTGAAAACTAGAAATATTACTCACTGTTATCATGAATTCCGTTGATCAATATTTGACAAATATCACACGCACAGATGAACAATAAACTTTTGAGATATGATTGAAAATTTGAATGATTTTTTAAGTCTTCAATGTCTGCTTCATAAATTAAATGAATAAATTTCTTCGGGTCTGGAAAATGGAAAAGATATATATCTATGTTTATTCACTAACATTATCAACAAAATGTCTTCATGAAAATACAGTGATACAGAAGTCTTCCTCATGTACACTTTGTAATTGCATTACTTCTAAATTGTGATACTTTGAGAAACATTTTGACTTTCAAAGCCAATATGCTGCACTATTGGTTACTAAGTGAAGAAATAAAATATATATGCAATCAACTACTGGGTTAGGACATTTTTCGAAGCCAGATATTATGCATCAATAAAAAGCTTCCACGGTATTTCACTTAATAGGTAACAGAAAACACACAGCTAATTCAAGAAAAATGTGATATTAAAAACCGACTAAAGTAGACACAAATTGATAAAAATACTACACTATTCATAAGACTACGTTAACTATAAAGGATTATTTTGAAAGCATTTTGTGGGGACAATACTGAATACTGATTATGACTGAGTTAATGGATACTTCTTGAATTTTTTGGCTTATCACGGCTAAACGATATGAAACACAAGATGGATGAATGCAATCGGTAGGACATCTTTGACTAAGTTTTCTGCTTGCTAACAATCGTCAGTAAGACGTTTCTTCAACCGTAGAAACTGCTGGCTTTTTTTAATGATTTTAACCTGCGTCACCCAACAATCAAGTAAAACGTATGACCACAAAGCCATCCAGTCACCAGGCTTAGTAAAGCCACACTCTATTGCATCTTAATCTGGATTCAAATGATGGGACCCTGTCATCTGAAAGCCTTAGACCTCGGTCTATGGTCATTAATACTGATTAACCAGGCGTGTCTGCAACCTAGATGGGAAAAAATCCTTCCAAAAGGTTTGACCTATGGCAGTTATGGCCCGAAAAGTTCGGTAATAAACTCTCTGCACGCAACACTTAGTCATGCAGGTTCGAATTTCACAGAGGATTTGAGTTTCATAAAAGTTGCTGGCACACAGTGTGCATTGCCAAAAAGTAAGAAACTAAGGTCCATGGCTTCCTGTCCAATCCTTCTAACCAAATAACATCTATCAAAAAGCATCTACTTGTTCACTGTGTTAGTCTGGTGGTCTCATTAAAAATATAATGTATGGAATTCGACCATTAACTTGACAACAGAAAATCGGTTACGCTCCACTGGTCAACGAATCAATATGAAACATTCCCGTAGTTATATTCCTTTCAAAAACGATTATAGGTTTTGTTGAATGAGTATCCTTTGAAGAAATAGTGAGAAGTACAGCGAGATGAATCATTTCGTCGTTCTTTAGGATGAATAAGAATTACGTGATCAATTTCTTATTTCACTTATAAATGCAGCTATATCTAAGCTTCTGAATTGGTTTGTTATTAGTCTTCATTTCATCAGTTCACGTTTAATGGAATAGTATTGAGCAGCTTATTTTTAATCTTTTTCTGAAACCATTTCATTTTCAATATGTGAGTCAGAAAACTTCAGTTTCCGAGAATGAGACGCTGGCTGTGACACTGCGACCACTAAATTTTAAGCTGTTTGATAATTTAACCATTGTTAGATCTCTTACTTCAGCACCTCATTTACTATAGGCCTTTAATATCCATTTCTGATACGTTTTGGACCAGGTTGATGCAAATACCCGGCACTCCAAGTCCTCAGTTTTTGTAAGCCATTGTTAAGGTGAAGTAGGGATGGCCTTTAGCCAGTCAGTTATACGTGAATCCGATCAAATCGATATCTGATGACATGAAGGCAGCAAACGAGCAGTTACACGTTATGGCGATAAATGCTTTTTGGTGCGAATAGACCTTAACTGATCTCAAATAAATCACTAACGCCAATAACAAGGTATCACATAAAGCATCGGAACTACTTATCGACGTTGATGGAGCTTTAGTTCTCCGTCATCCATCCATATAAAGACGGCTGCTGTTAAAACATTTTACATCAGTCAAAAGCAGTAACTAAAGCATTTTTGACAGAGTGTTCTATGACCAAGTCTTTTTGTTTAGCAATAAGTTTTCTTTCAAATGTTGCTACTCAGGTCATTAAAAACCATGCTTTTCACAAAGGTATGCAACTCTCTTTCTTAAATTTAATGCTAAAACTCTTTTCAGAAAACGTTTTGGTTACTTTATCTGTTTCTGCGTCTTACTAATACTATTAAATTGAGCCATAGAGTACACAGTAGAAAATATTCCTCCCTAGAGTAAATGATTGCACCTTTTTCGATTACATATACGAAAAATGAAGGAAACGTTCAACAGCGGAACTTAATCACCAATAAACTTTATTTGAATATAGGTGACATATTATTAGAGTAACCAGATAGATATTTGAATTTCATCTTTTAGTAGGTACGGTATCATGCTGTAAGTTCAAAAGTCATCAGGATGGTTCGTGTCTTTCACTAACCTTCACTCCCATATGTATATAAATATGTTGTCAATAAACGACTTATTCACTGATATTTCAGAAGGCGAAATTTTTGAGCATCATTTTATCTTATTGAATAGGACAGAAGGACTACATACAAAATAAGTATAAGTAAACATGGATATAAACGCTAATAAGACAGAATTTACCTTGATTCTTAGTTTTACGACCACTGGATTTTGCCACCTGATTACCATCCGGATTAGGACCTAGGATCTTGATTCTGTAATAAAATGATCATATTAGAGGGCAATGTTCAAAACACTTTTATAAATAGGAATTACAAAAAAATCTTCAAGTTTTGCTGCAAAAATGTCTTCTAATAAAGATATTTCCAAATAGATTATTCAACTCAATAACCATACGTCTTGTACTTGCCTAGAATGTCAGAGTCATATATGAAACAAAATAGTAAATTTTGAAGCTCGTTAGGTTTCATCAGATGGAATTCCTCAAGAAAAAGTGTGATTAAGATGACAGATTGAAATTGTTTGCTGATGAACTTAACTGTATAATTTATAAAAAAGATAGATTGTGTCCCACAGAAATTACATCTGAGAAACAAACCACTTCCTCTACCAATAAGTTAATAGTTAGATTAGAATGTTTTCCAAGCTCGAATTGATAAGTTATTTTATGATGCTTCAAGGTTTCGGCTTTCCTATCAGTTGTAGTGTAAATATCATAACAGTACACTTCTGTTAATTATAAGGTGCTTAAAACAGGACATAACTTATGAAGTCAATATTTATTTGATTGCTGATGCATTTGTAGGATCTTCAGCCTCACAAAAGTGGCGAAAATCTATGACTTAAATTATGAAAACCAAAACATTTTTTGAGATATGATGTACTGATTTAGCAGTAATAATGGTATTTTACCAACAGCATGAAGACAGAAGCCAATAGATGTTTTTCCCAACTCGTTACACTGGTTAGCGTTTTTATGGAAGATTTACCAGTAAAAAAGGTGCTATGGACGTTTAAAAGCTCAACAAGATTTAAATATGAAATATTAGAAATTATTAGTTTCAGATGATGAGAATTCCTTATTAAAGTGCATATGGAATATCTGAATCTAGAGTCCTCAGCTTCAAAAAAGCTAGAATAATAAATAAACCAACCCAAATGAAAATCTCGTTATATAAGTTTCTCATAAGATGCAGTTATCGGGGGCATATTATGAGTTGTACTGTCCCAAATTATACGGTGCAAAGGCAGACATATAGTAAGGAACCAAGAAACAGATACATAAATGTCATCGTTTCATAGACCACCCCGTTTTGACATTGTGTATGCCCTTTGAAGAAGGTTGACTCACATTGCACTTATATGCATAAATTTACTCTTACATTCGACAAGTAGTCAAACTTTCATCTAATGCAATAATTTACTAATCAGTGGTGTGAAATATATGTACATATATATATATGAAAAACAAAGGCAATAATATACAGCCTAGCACAGAACTGAATCAGAACCGAAAATTCGAAGTGATATTTCTTACTCATTAGGTATTTTTTTCGGAAAATAAGGTATAGTCTGAGCTATTTCATAACAAACTTGTGCACGAACCAGCTGTACTTCACAAAACAAAAGTGAACCCCATTTATGAATCGTTTCGTTTGACAACTTGTGCATTAACAAAGTATTCAAATTCTGTAAAGAAAATATTGGAAAAATGAGTCATTTTTACTGCAAAAAAAATCTACGAAACTGTATTCACTTCTTTTTCTGCATAACACTTTGACAGTGTGATAGATAACAACTTCACCATATGTATTAGGTTTATCATACACCAAAACAGTATTATTCACTGGATGACATTTCTAACGCAATCTCTTATTCATATTCAGATCTAAACTTTTAATATTCTTCAGCAAATGTGATAGAAAAAATACTGGATCCAATCTGTTGCTGATATTTATTTCGATAAGCAGATGTTTTTAAATATTTCAATGGATTATAATTGACTGTGTAGTTTTATAAATATGAAATTCGGTTGCTAACTTTTACCACTCCTATGTGTATCTATCAGTTTGATTAATCCTGTGGAACAGTCATGTAAAGTGTACGACTAAGTAACTTAGCCAACATAACACGCAACTTCAACTTTCATAGCCAGAGAAATGGCAAGTTAAATCTGTGAGAAGCTTTATTTTGTCACATCTAGTTTATAATGATCACAGATTGAGAAGAATGTTAACCTTCAAAACGTGTATACCACATCTCACTGAAGCTTTCTAATGGAGTTCAAATTCATCAGTTAAAAATAACTAGAGCTGTAGGAATTCTAATGAAGGATCTGTATTCAAAAGAAACTTGTACAGTCTTTATTCCTGCTTTAAACAGATAAGACTTGGTTAATGAACCTAATTATGAATTTTTAAAATGCTTTTCTTCCACTTTTTATTTTATTTTGTCACCTCCTTCACACCACTAGTATATTCTTATTCATACTTTATTTATCCACTGCCTTCATTCCCCAGTATTACACAACATGATGTCGTTTTTTAACCTTTAACCTACTTTGTTTGTCTTTCTAAGCACTTGTTCACATTTCCATGCCATTCTCAACATTTGTGTTATACCTTAAACTACCACTAATTTAATTATTATAATGTATGCAATCCCCATTCTTGATATCCCTGACTTACAGATTGCCTTGATTAGTTCAAATTTTATTTATTTATTGAAAGCTATGCGCATAAGAGTGAAGCTTAAGAAGGTCCAACTGAAAGCGATATTCATCTCTCACACGTCTTGACATCATTTCCACAATGATATTTTGTTTGATGAAAGTTCATCTGTCCGGTTGTAATACAGTTTTTCATTCCTTTCATAACTGTATAATTTAATTAATTGACTTCTCATTTTGGAATAAATCGCAATTTCATTGCAGTTTGAGGTCCTAATCTGGCGCAAAAATTTTCATTGTTTGCTCAGACATCGATATGTATATCTCTTATATCTATGATATATAATAATCTATTTGAAACAGAATGATTTTAAATTTATTGTGATGAATGGACCCCAACAAAATCATTTTACGAGGTTCATATTGGCGGTCGTCAAATGTTTTAACTAATACTTCAATCTTGTTAAAGTTCTAATATAACTTATATTCTCTTTATAAAAACTTGAGTAACGTATGCAGATAACTAGTAAAAAAAACCCACAAACTGAGTTTTCTACGATGCTCCCAAGGAAAATCTGATGCATAAATTCCAAAGTTATAATGTCTTCAATACCGACATTCTCATCGAAAGCTCTACAGAGTGATTCACAGCAGTTGAATAAAGTCATCGAAGTTAAGTATTGAAAAGAAGCCAAAATATTCAACAACCATCTAAATTTCTGCACTAAAATACAAACGCATTTCACTATGACGAAGTAAATTTAGTTCCAACAGTATTTGTTTTTTAACAAATTTTTGTTTACTAATTCTATAATGCGCACAAATTTCAAAGATAAGTTCATGCCGGCAACAATAAATCATTAGAGGTTAACTTACTGTTTGGTAACAATGTTAATTGTATCTTTTATTTTTATAAACGATAGCTTTAAATATTTTCATCATGCATAGTTAAACTATAACCAGTTATATAAGTCGGTTTTAGTAACTAACAAATACCTGTTAATACATTCATGGTTTTTATTACCAGAGTTGCCATGGTATCACTTAGGATATACAGATATGTGAAATATCATATTATGTATTTGGACAGTAGTATCACCCTACATGTTAAGCATCTATGTGGCTTGTGACGACAGTTGTTTCAGTCAGTTATTCTTTAAAAAATGTAAAACATAAAATGTGTTGTTGGAAAATTTGCTTTTAGGCACTTAATAAATTACCTCTTGTCGTGATTTCAATACTTTTATGAAATCTTTGCTGACTTTCTCTAATTAGTTAAAATGGAATTAACGAGTAATTGAAACTAATCTGTTTGATAAAAGAAATAAACGAAACATCGATTCCAGATGTGCACACAATGTCAAGCAAAGTTTCAAAAGTAATGAAGCACTGTGAAAGGCTTAGTCCTGTTTAATATAAACAAGTATAAATAGCCAATAATACAACCAGCTATATCCCCAACGTTCATCTGAAACTACCAAAAGTAATAAATTAATTGAAAACTGAAAACTTTTGGAATGATTGGAATGATTTTATCAACATCTATGTCAAATGCATAATTTTACAGAAAATGTCTAAATATAAAGGATAAAAAGAAAACAATTGCTATCTGAAGTAAAGCTTCACATTCGAAGCAACATTAAGAAAGTTCCAGTTTATACAAAGTTTAAACATTTACGCATATCAGAACTATTCAGTACGTTTATCTTAACTGCAACATTTTGTAGGTTAAGAACAAATAGCTGGCTTATCAGTAAACTGCTTTTGGATTAGTTCAAAACTCGTGACTTTATTAAATGAGTGTGTTAGAAAATCTATGTAGTTACACCCGAAAGTGATTATTCGTTTGCTTAGCAAACAGAAGTGACCTACAGTACTGCTTGAAAACTTCAACAGGTGACATAAAATAAGCAGTAATTTTCCGAAATAAATGAAATTAATTGTGAATGTGTAGCATTGCTATATTTTGGTGAATTCTGCTTCATTTCAACAACTTACTGAGCTATCACAGAGTAATAATATCCAAACTGCAGAAAAGCTACCTACATGCTAATTTACGGTGAAGTCGCACTACTGTTTTTATCAGTACAGACACTGTATCCAATCAATTCAACTTAACAGAAGTATAACTTCCTAATTTAAGCATGTTAAGTTTCTCTATTCTTTCAGTACCCCTGTTTTTCAAAAGATAGTTAATTTTGGTGCAAGACGGTTGGAAGAAATCGTTAGGAATTAACGGACCTAGGTTTTATGCTTGTCGACACTAGTTAGCAAAGCGTATCTCTAACCTCGATGTAACTAATATCGCCTGAAAGATTCAAACTAGTGTTATCCGGTGCTGCAGTAATAGACTTTATCATTTAGCTATTCGGGGAATGACTAACCTCTTATATGACTGAAGAACAAATAAAACTACTTAAGTTTGGTCATATCACTCTTTTGCTCAGTTTGCTCAGAGATATCTACAAATTTTAACCTCATTGCTCTGAAGAATACCACGTTTCTCTAAGATCGAGTGGAAGTTTAAACTTTCCAAATATGCATTCTGTTTTAAAGGTAAAATACCCTACTTCAACGGTTACTTAGATGAAAATTTTCATTTTCCTGATCTTATCTGTCAACAGGAAATTTCATTCAAATTCCTCTTTCTATTTCTGTCACTCCTTGATTTCTAATTGTTTTTTATTGTAAGTTTAATTATTCCTACTGAGTCCTTTGATTTCACTGTAAACGCTTATTTTGTATGTGAATTCACAGTTCCCTCACCACCCCTTTTACACAATTTAGATTTCTTAGAGTAATGTATAATAATTCTGTCGAATAATTTGTAGAAATCATTCATTTTTCTTTTATTGTATTTGTCATGACTATAAACACGTTTGTTTAGCTCCGAGAAATGACATCTTTGTACAAAGAATTTCATAAAATGTATCTATCAAAAGTCTTTTTGATGGGGACAGATGAGTTGCATTCATCTTCAAAGAAATATTAGTCGGATCACGCACACATTTCATTCAGCTAAATTTTAGAAATACATGGATGTTCACATTCGACAACACTTTATCGTTTCTAAAATCTTATAAAAACGCCTTTTTACATTCATTTTTGGATAGGACAACAATGAGTTAATGTAGAGTAAAATTCCAGATTTAAAACTGCACTGAGTACCAAAGTGATGTACAGTGTCTAGGGTTACTGTTAGCTGCTTCTATTTTCTCCAGGTAAATAAACCATTTCGATTTAGGATTATGATAAAAGTAGGTAGCTAAGTTCTTAAAGATGTCCACTTTTTCATACAAACTAAAAAATCATGATTTTTCGAATGATTTTTGACTTCAGCTTCTATTTTATTAGTCAAGTAAAAGTAGTTAATCAGAAGTAAACCACTACAAGTATTCGACAATAATAAACAATTCAAATTAATGGTTAGAATCATACTTAATATGAAATTTTAGCTTTTTTTAGCAGAAACGTGGTTATAGTCATCAAGGTAAAGTCGTATTAGGTGACCAGCTCTCTATATTGTCAAAGTATATACAAAGGTTTTCTTCAAAAAGCATTTAAACTGAAGGATATTTCGCACTTTAGAGCAAAATACTGCTATTCAGAATATCCCTGTGATTTCTACAGATATTTAATATAGTGTGCAAAATATCACACCACACTACTTCAATTGTAGCTCTCTTTCATTAAGCAGATAAAACTATTAGTTAGTTTTTCTCGTATATACGAATTATTTAGCATTGGAACTAGATTGAGGAGTCAAATTTGACCTGATTAAATTAATTAACTTGAACATTATGTGAACGATCTACACTAGGAACATAGCTTCTTACCTCATTAGGGTGTTAAAAATATGTTTTCTTCATAAATCATAACTAACTTAACAGAAAGCGAACTGAACCGGACAGTTTTATCTATGAATAACCTCTTTAAACGAACAACTTCCCTTACAATGAGTTCTAGATATTAACTGCATGTGTCTCATCGATTTTTATTGATGCCAAGCGTATATCTAGGT